AGGTGTAGCTACACTTTCATCCAAAATCCAAACTCATGCTCAATATTTAAGCTCCACACACATGAACATGGCCTAATATTGACAGCCATGCATGATAGGAAAGAATATCATACACATTAAAACTATACTTTAACAAAAAGAAATATATACATTGAAATATTATCTTTTTTAACTGTTTTCATAAATGTTATGAAGAATGGGAAAGTACCAAGATATACTGTACATACATCCATAGTCATACCGACTTACAATTTTTCTTTCACCTCCTTTATATTGGCCATTACACCTTACAGAGGCATTGCTTGTACAGTACTGTATTTCTATCGATCCCCTAAACAAAATCAAGACTTTCATGAAGTGAGAAAAGCCAAGATTGAAATGTTAAAACTTTAAAGCCTACACATAATTCACATCTGAGAAAAACTTGTATATCATCAATTACCCTGCAGTTACCATAAACTACTAAATTACAAAGTGAAGTCCATCAACAGATATGGCATGGTACTACAAAAATAAGAAAGAAAGTAGTTTTCAACATTATTTGTTTTTAGGTAAATCATTGAGAGAAAAGGCAAAAACCATGAAATTAATTTTTGTTCATTATTAATTACCAAAAAGGGCTATCTTTAATTTCCATTTGAATGCTCATTTACATGGTAACTCTAATTTAAGTTTTGGGAATATAGAAGCAACCACCGACCACATAATTTAGTTACGTTATTTAAGTCAGGCAAAGCATAATATAATGTAAATCAATTCCCACTTATATTTATCCTCATACAATAAAGGTGTGAACATGGAAAACGCAGCCATGAGAGTGCATATTTGAGGCTTTTAAAACAAAACAATTACTACAGCGGCAATTCCTCTGCCTACTAAGAACATCAGGGAGATACTCACTGGAATCTTGTGGTGTTATCCTAAACAATAAGTGTCAATAAATAATTCTAAAATGCACATGACTAGAATAAATCAAACTAGTGAAATCTCTGTGTATTTGTCCTAGCGGTGACTTTACTATGGCATTACCATGTGCTGCTTTATATACAGCTTTCTAGGCCTCACAAACTACCAACTTACTCGTAGTCAATATCACAACAGTTTTAAAAAAGATAAAAGAAGGCACACAGCAAAATCAAATGGAGACAAAAAGTTAGTCAATATGGAAGATCATACAGCCCAAGGGATAAATTAGTTTGAGAAAAAAAGAGCAAAATCTAAGCAATGAAGATGTATTAGAAACACTAATGTAATTTTGCATTTACTTCACACTAGAGTCATTCCACTTCTCAAAATGCAATACAGTACAGTATTACCCCGCTTTACGCGGTTTCACTTTCCGCGATTTCTCATTTACGCGGTGCCTCGCCAGAACCGAACTTTCACTTTCCGCAGTGCATCTATTCATATACGCGGGAAGCGGCGCGGGCAGGATGCGCACAAGGTCGCCCAGTCATCAAAACATTACCGAGTTCTTCACCCGCCACCCACCACAGCCGGCCTAAGTCAGTGATAGTGATAGTGAGGATATGGACTTATATGGACTTTGAGGGGTTTGACAAAGAGGCCCTGCAAGCCTATGTGGTGGATAGTGATACAATTGATACAAGTGATACAGGTGAGGGCCAATAATCTGCCCTCTGCCTCGGAACCAACCCCCCATCCCTGTGTGCCCAGCCATCTTTTCTACTAATGTAAGTGTTAAAAAAACTAATATTATTGATATTTCTCTTAATTATTAATTGTGTGTGCATACCATCAAAAAATTAAGATGTAATTTTTACTACAACGTAGGTATTGTGTCTGAAAAAGTGGAGTTTGGGGGTCGGGCCAGTCTCTATTGGAATTAATCCCATATGTTCTGTTGTTCACTTTACGCGGTTTTCACTTTCCGCGGTACCCCATGGGTTCAATTGACCGCGTAAATCAGGGTACTACTGTAATTATTATTTCTCCTCTTGCAGTTTCACATGGATTAGAGATACAGTAAGAAAAAGGGGATCTGTACTGTTCTACAAACTGTATTAAAAAAAAAGGGATCTATAGCTGAACTAGTGCAGTATTGAGGATTCACTTTTGGAGATGCTTGGGCCCTTGCAGCATAAGATTGTCCATATTCCCTGCATATTTTAAGAGGCAACTGATGTGGTGTAAAGGTACTGAAGGAAATGAAGTGATGAAAAGGCAAGTTTAAATATATAAAATGGTGAAACAGCAACAACAATAGCATAAAGGTGTACCCATTCTACCTAGTGACAACATAAGAAGGCTGAGTCACACATAGAGACAGGTAGTATTTAGATTCTTTGGCCACATTCACCTATTCACAGTCACCACTTCTCTCGTCTGCCACACAATCTAGAAATTTCACGTAACCATATCTTCCATATGTTCTTCACACTCTATATATTCTAATCTTCCAACAACTGTGCTGCACATCCAAGAACTTTATTCAACATTATCTAAGAGAGAAGAAGAAAAAAATCTACCACATTATAAAGAAAACAACTTCATATTACTTGTACAGTAGAACGTCAATTTAACGCGAATCTATTTAAAGTTATTGATTTAAAGTGACACCCAAAATTTAGGACAATGCATCAATTTAAAGCAAATCTTTTCTATTTTACGAGAATCAAATCTGGCGCGTCATATGGAAACAATATTTTAAGTTTCGCACCTAATGTTTCCTGCCAGACACCTCTCTGGGCAGCTACGAAGCTGCCCGCCACCCTCCAGCATCCTCGGTTCTCGAGCTGACGCTCTAGTGAACGGATATACCTGTACTGTGTGACACGCCTTCCACCACATGCATCAACCATCGCCACTATGTCCAAGAGGCCAGCCACTACATCATTAACTGGCAAACACTGCTGTCATCCAGTGCTTCCCGCGTGTCAGATGCCTCCACAGCCACACCACCAGACAGTGATGTAGATGATGAACTTGCCGAGTTGGGCTCTGCATCTTCAGAGGATGACTTACTTAACTAAAGATGGGTGAAAAACTATTTTTGATAGCATAAAGTATTGAAAAACTAAATTGAGAGGAAAGTGAAAGTGCAGGGGGAGGGCCAGTGACGCGAGGCAGCAGACAGTACAGTGCAGTACCATGCAGTAACAGTACCGTCCAGCTTTCAACTCGACTGCGGGGAGTGCTTGCTGCATATATATCATTACACCATATATTTTTCTCATATTTATGAGTTAATAAAAGTCTTTTTTGTTTCTCTCAAGTACCCAACTAATTATTCCATTGAAACAACATTTCGATTTAGTGCGAGTTCACTTTAAAGCGACCTCTCCTGGAACATATCTCGCGTTATATTGACGTTCTACTGTACCTTACAACAACTGTGTCACACAATCCAAAAACTTCAAATTACCTTTCTGACGAGTCATATGATACTTGAATTAAATCATTCACATCAACCAACAACCAGTGACACGCATCCTTAAACTTTCCAACAACTGTCATTTCCTCGTACTCTATCTTCTACCATTTCTCCTTAGCTCAGCTAACCCTTTTTCCCTGTATTTCTATGTTCTCTTCTTGTTTCCCTCCTCTGGCATTCTCTCAGTGTACAGCACTTGATGAAGCAAACTCATCCTCACTGACTACTGTACTTTTCATTTCTTTGTGCAAACAATAACCTGTTTATGCATGAAACAGCCAGATAGTTTGTGAAAATCTACACACACTCCTCTGCTCCAAATGTGGAAGAGTTTACATGTTGATGATTAGTGATGCTAATGATGAGGAGGATGATGATGAAAATGATTTTTTTAGCTGCTTATACCTTCTTGTGACAGTCAACACACATCTTGAAGAGCAGAAGGTTCTTAATTGCTTGTGCAGTGAGCCAAGTTAATGCAGCTAGTGCGAGGAGTGCTATGATGAACTATAAAGGCTTTTTCAATATTTTTTCTCTTAAAAAATAAATGCATGCACATGCAGCCTTCTGTATATAACTTATATCACATTTCAGCTTGAATTAATTTGCCAAAAGATTATGCTCAATATTAATATTTATATATATATATATATATATATATATATATATATATATATATATATATATATATATATATATATATATATATATATATATATATATATATATATATATATATATATATATATATATATATATATATTATATATATATATATATATATATATATATATATATATATATATATATATATATATATATATATATATTATACTCAAAGGACAGATTATACATTCACCAGACCAATATAATATAAATATTTAGTAAATCAAATTGTTTCTTTAAAGAGGTGGACTAATTATGGAAGGAAGAACTTTTCATATGTTAATCATTTGCATCAATTACCTTTTGGTGTGGTGATAAAGAGGTACAAAATATGATTTCCATAAAAGACATAACAACTAAAATAAATAATCTCTTATTCTAATGTTTACAACTGCTTCCTTTGGAGTGAATGATCAAGAAATGATAACATCCATCAACAAGTCTCCAGCAGCTAATCACCAAGAGTTATGATATTTATTAAAATTTGATCAGTTTTCATTATCATCTTAAACCCTTTATACTGTGTCCAATACAATGTCTAAAGCCTGACGATTCATATCGCATGATGGTCCTCTCAATCAGTCATATTATGGTTCAAATAATGACTTCTTTTAATCACTATGATTTTGTCTTTAAACATATTGCTCATTAATTATAATACTGTTATGCATAATATGCTTACTGGAGCATAACAGTCTTAAATACAAGGTTTTAACTGACCAGAAAGAAGCATTTCAAGACACATTACAATAAAGGTCCTGGCAGTACAGTATATTCAGAGGACCAATATCCCCCTTTCCATAAGGTTATCACTCTTCAGGAATGTGGCATTACACACCACAAAATAACCTATTACTGTATATATCAAAACAAACTTCAATAAACACATATATTCTGTGAATTAGAAACAACTAATATATATGATTGACAAAATGTGGTGAAAAAAAAAATAGTAAATGTCAAATTTCCTGAAGAAGAGCATAACACTCAAAACTGTAAAAGTCGAGATATGTCATTGGAGTCAGCTGTAAAAATGATAATGACCTCAGTGTGCCAGAAAAGATCATCATCCATTGTAAGTTTGTTGACTTCTGGATTGTTTGTTGTAGATAATTTTGAAATCTCAGAGGTGAAGCTGGTACAGCATCAAACATAAAAGAGACGAACCTTTGATGTTGACACCAACAAGTCATCATCAAAAAATTTTGTCTCTATTATAACATTTCCACTGAAAAAAGAAGTTAATATCAGAAAAAAAGCCACAGATATATGGCACCTTAATTACACAAAAATATATCCGCACAGTACATGTACGTGTTTCATGATAGTGCACTGACATGATTACTGTCTATATTTCAAATATACTGTATGTATTAACATTACAGGCTACCTGACCATACAGGAAGAGAACAATACTGTATAGTACAGTATTTACAAACACGTATTTCATACTTTGGTCCTCACCTTAACACCTGTGCAGGCATCATCTGGGATTCTGGAGCAGCCTCAATCAAGCTCTGCCATGTGTTTGTTGAGTTGGGAATTACTATACCAAATTCAAAAAACCATTCTTCAAGCATTCTATCCTGAAATCAAATAACCCTGTTAGCATACACAGAATACATTTTTATGAGGAGTAAATGATATAATGACAAAACCTTAAATAGTATACAGTTAATTTGATTCTACAAAGATGCAGATATAGACAAAAAAAAGTCCTCAATGGGAGGGCAACTGATGTTGGTTTCAGGGGAGAAATAAATCACAAAGTCTGAGTTGGATATACTGCTGCTACTGCTTGCATGGTTTGGACGTAATGTACTTGTCTCAACTGTACTAATTGTTACCTTAAAGTACACTCGTTGCTCGAGCCTGAACTTTTCCATGGAGTGGACAGAAGAGAAGGAAATTTCTCGTGAGATGGCTCGGCATTTGAGGATTTTCCTAGGAACTCGAGCTTCATGTTCTACGTCTGGGTTGGTGCTGCAAAAGGATTTGGAATATTATTCTTGGTTTGACAGACAACTTGCTTTTCTTCATTTTGTTTAGGAAGTAACCAAACACTAACATACAGTATACTACAGGTATACCCCAAATCTGCCGATTCGCATAACCGACAATACATATAGGGGAAATACCCACGAGTTTTGTTGATACCCCAGAGATCCTGTCACCACATGTCTTCAGCCCCTCTACTTGGAGGTTCCTTTGAAATGTTGTCAACTTGACAACAACTGACTAAGAGGCAGGTTGACATCTTCATGTAGGGATAAATTACCTGCCCCTGATATAGGTCACTATTCCTGGTACACTGAAGACAAGCGGCCTGTTGAGGGACCTCCCTGGTTAAACAGGTATGGGAAGGAGGGGTGTTGCTGCACCTGACAAATTCCCATCTAGGTGTTCCTTTCAAAATATTAGATTGTCTGCCAGGCAAATGGACATGAAAAATAACTTCCCCAGCCTACAGCCTGGACACGGTTGGGCTACTGGGCACTGCTGATCTACACAGCCTGCTTCAAAACAGGTAAAAGACAGTACATACTGTACAGTAATGTACTGCAGATAAAAAAACTTACAAATCATCTGTGCCCTGCCAGAGAACTTTGCCGCTGTCTGCATCTCGAAGGTTCATCCAATTGCTGTAGTGAGTGTGTTAAGGATGTAACTAAATATGAAATAGCACAAAAAAAATATATTTTTTTATCCATTTAAGTACGGTAACATACATAACATACTCTCTAATCAAATGTAACATAACTTTTAAGTGTTCATGTGTATGGACAGGAAAACACTGGGAAATATTTGTGTGTATCGCCAAACTAACACTGTGAAAATTGGAAATTATTCTTGTCCATTTCTGGGATATTCTAAATGTTAGAAAGAAGTACTGTAGTCATCATCAATAAAAAGAAAATCTAGAAATGCTGTATATTTGCGAGTATAAAATGGAATAATTAATATTTATGAACATTTCCTGCTCCTGTATTAACAATTAAATCACAAACAAGCATGGTGTCATTGTCAGATGGGGGGAACGAGTGTTTTTAGTTACGAAAAAAATAAGGAAAAAACTAAGGATACTACTTGATTGTAATGTAAATACGTAGTGCAATTTCTTCACATGAATTGGGTAGTGTTTAAGTAGGATATAAGTTTTCTCACACAAAGATTTTCTGTTAAGTAACTGATTAACCTGGACCACTGTCACTAAATGTTATAGAAAAAAAATATGGGTAAAGACAAGAAAATCCAGTCCTGTACTGTGAACACGTGAAAGTCCAGTACAGTACAGCATTGACAAATCCAGTCAAGGGAATAACATATGCTATACAATGACCAGCAAAATTTATTTCAAGATTTCCAACATGTACAGTCCCCCCAAATACAGTAGTATTGTTAGATTTTCCGTCGCTACAATTTGAAACGTGAGATGAAATGCTTTGATATGATTCCCATTGCATGATCATAAGTTGGTGTGCCTGCTCGCCATATCAGCAACAGCTAGAGATTGGGGTAGGATTGGGGGAAGAGGGTCATCCTTGTATGGTATATGTACTAGATACTTCAATGTAACAAGAAATCAATTAAGCTATACCGTATCAATGTACAATGATGATTTGTTTTAATTTGCTTGAGCATGTCGAGATGTGGCATATTTACTGCAAGCCTCAATATAAGTTTTGCCTAACCAATCAATTAAAGTCAAGTAAATAAAACTTGAACTAAAACACAAAGTTTTGTTTTACCTTTTGGGTACATATTCCCACCTATCACTTTATTTACCTGACTTACACTTGCTATAGTGAACACATGCACATTTTCATCCTCAATTATATACATACATGTACAGTACAGTATTATAGCCATTTATTTTTTAGTTCCCAATTAATGTACAGTATTATTCGAACTCTGTGTGACACCTGTAACTGACTGGTAAAATACTAAATCTATATATCCTAACATTAAAGTATTGTTAATATTGTACTGTAATTTACAACATGTCCCTGTGAGAAGGAGCATCTTTTGGCAAAAATTCTATAGGAATAATTTATTTCTTACCCATTCAATACAATACCCAAAAGAAATATGGAGAAATTGTAACTTTCCTACTTTGTTTTTCATATACTGTATATATATATATATATTTTTTTTTATCCTGAACATGAATCTGTCATTCTCAACTGTTTACCTGAGCATTATGAGCATTAAAAGACAGACAAATAATCATTTCATGTCCATAAATGCTTTTGTTCCATACTCATGAAAAAACAGAGCAACTTTTTAACATTTTGGTATTGACTATTATAAATTCTTTTTTGTACAGTATTAATAATACAGTAAACCGTCATCAACCATGCATTCCATTTATCCACAGTTTTCACTCTGTATATTGTACCATTTCACCAACCACAGCATTTAGTTTTATGTGTTCATGGATTAGTGCTGTGTCTCTATCCCTCCGCAGTCTAATCTATTGCTGTGCACAATGACCCACCTCCCACCACTGCTCTCTCGGTGTTGTGATCTCGCAGTGTGCTGATGTAATGTACTGCTCCAAATTCTCTCACTTATTTTCTATTGTAATAACAATAAATTTGCCCTTAACTATTGCCCCTAATTGCTCATTGAGTGTTAGTGATAAAGGTGAGAAGGGAAAGGAACATAATAATATTAGAAAAGAAAGTTTACTTGCTTGATAGACTAGCAAGTGGTGAGAATATATCATCAGTGGGGTGTGCTATGGGTCTCTGCCCACCTCTTCCTTGTAGCAACCACCTTTCTCTCCACATCACTGTCCTCAATACTGTAAAGCTAAATACCACCTTACTGTAAAATTTATATTACTACTTTATTTAAATTAAGCTACTTTATATTACTGTAAATGTATTTGACTCAAATTTAATTAGATGTACAATATAGGTACTGTTTAATAAAGGAACAGGCAACTTAATTAGGCTTTGACAAATGTTATCCATGGCTGTGTAACCTAACCTCCTATTTTCCATAAATCATTAGTCTTGCCAACCACGGTGTTTTTCAGGAACCTGACCCCGCTGTTGGCGAAGGACTACTGTACAGAACAGTATATAAAACAAAAATAACAAGGTTTCACAGCAATTTCTTTATTATTAGTTTGGAGATTTTGTACTGGGTAGAATTTCACACAAACATTATCTTATCAATCCATCATACACACGACAACAGACCGAGGATTTTTTGAAAACAAGGTAAACAAACGAAACCTACCTAGCCTAACATACCTATCCTAGGGTGGAAGTGCATTATTATTTCAGGTTAGGTTGTTAGGTCAAGTAAGTAAGAGTGTGTTCTGGGAAGTGTTCAGTTGTTGAGCATTAAAATTGATCCGTGGTAAGCTTGCCAATAGTTAAACTGGAAAAATGGCATCAAAGTATGAACAGACTTTTTATTCTTAAAATAATATATATAAACATAATGAATTTCTTTTTAGGAATGATGAAATTCCTCCCACCTTTTCTGGATATTTCATAGGCAAGAAAAAACTTTCTTCTAGTATAAAGATTTTTCCCCTAAATTTGTTCTGGTTAGGATTCATTAAAGGTCAACCACGGAACTCTATATTGATTTGAATATAAGGAGACAGAGATTAAAATTTATAAATACTTTGCTCTAATATTTTTCTGATCTTTTCATTTGCAGGTTTCTTATCCCGGGCACCTGTTAAAGTATTACACTGTAAAATTTTCTGTAATACCTACTGTAATTAGGTTATGTTAGGTTTGGTTTTGTCAGTGTTGTTTGTATTTTAACTGCACAATTTCCATATACTACTGTACTTCAAAGCCCTGCCCACTTTGTGTGATCAAAAGTGATTTTTTTAAGTGAAATAGAAAAGTGAAAAACTTGAAAAATATACATTTCTGATGAAAATGATGAAGATAATTCTTATATTTCTTGTTTTCCATATCAAAATCAATAGAGAGTTTCATGGTTGACTTTTATCAAATCTGTACCTTTGTTCCACTTCAAAGGGCCTTTTAAACTATTACCAAAACATTAACTGGAATTCTTCATTGGATCAGACAAAGTGTACAGTATCTGTATATTGAAATCATAACAACATAAGAAAATAAGGAGTCTGCAATAGGCCGATTGGCCTGTGCATGGCAGCTCCTGTCGAAAGTTACTACCACTCTCTATCATCCATGAATCTATCTAGTCTCCTTTTAAAACTTTCCAGCGTTTCAGCACTTACTACAAAGTTGCTAAGCTTGTTCCACTCGTCCACCACCCTATTTGTGAACCAGTTCCTTCCTATCTCCCTCCTAAACCTAAACTTATCCAACTTAAATCCGTTGCTATGAGTCCTATCCTGCTCGGATATTATAAGAACTTTATCTATATCCCCTTTACTGATTCCTTTCACCCACTTAAATACTTCTATCATATCTCCCCGCACTCTTCGTCTTTCTAGGGACTGCAAGTTTAGTCTCTTTAACCTACAATGTCTTGATATGCAAGGTTTCTAAGTCCCGGAATAATTTTCGTCATTCTTCGCTGCACCGACTCCAGTGAATTGATATCCATTCTATAATAGGGGCACCAGAACTGAACCGCATAATCGAGGTGCGGCCTGACTAGCGCAAGATATAGTTGCAATAAGACCTCTGCACTCTTATTACATACACTTCTAAATATAAAACCTAATACTCTGTTTGCCTTATTTCGATCATTTACGCACTGTTTTCTAGGCCGTAGGTCAGGGCTTACAAGTACCCCTAAGTCTCTTTCACAAGTCGAATCCTCTAGGTTGATGTTGTTAAGGCTGTATACATTGAGAGTATTTGTTCTTCCAATATTCAGTATGCTGCACTTGCTGGTGTTGAATTTCATTTGCCATTTTTCTGACCACTCCCACAGTTTATTTAAATCCACCTGTAGTGCATTTGCATCCTGCCCTGAATTAATCTGCCGCTCTATTTTGGTGTCATCCGCAAACTTGCTTTATATTTACACATTTATTGTTAATCTAAATTCACTGAACCCTATTCCAGTGGGAAAGAAGTACTGTACAGTATATTGTAAAAACAGCTTTGGCTTATTAAAGAATCAACACGTATGCTTTGGCATCTGCATATTTGGCATATTGACAAATATTATGCAATATGCACTGGTTCCTTCTTACTAATATCAAACATAATTCAGTGACGGGTTTTGTCAATTGGCTGAAACTCCAAAGGCATCGGGGCCACAGCCTACTGGCCATTTTCTTTGTATACTTTTACTTTAAACCTCTTTACCTCTGATCAGTTATTATAACTTTATTTTATAATACTGTATTTGGCCAATCAGCACGAGTGGTGATATGATGTCATAGTCGTGCACGCCAATCAGCGTGAGTGCCGATGTGACGTAATACTCGTGCACTAATCAGTGTTCACGGCCAGTTGGACGATGGCGTGTGTGTGTGTGAGATGGATGTACATTGGCTGACTGCTGCATTACTCAGTGCATTTTGGACAATGAAGCAGCAGCTGTTGTCAATTTTAGGGCTCGCTGTGTTTTTGTTTTACCTGTAAGGTGTCCGAGATGTAATTCAGTATTAATACTGTGTAGATCACCATGTATGGTACAGTACTGTGATAATAGACGGACACTTATGAAGACACCACTTCCTCATTCAAGTCGCATCACTCTATCCTGTATCTCTTAAGGTAAGTTTCTTACACACGAGGGGTTAGGTTAAGTAGGTAGGTGAGGTGAGATTAGGTCAGGTTTTTTAATTTTTTTTTTTTAGGTTTATACACTGTTTGACCTTCCACCTTTTTTTTTTTTTCAATATCTCAACTACTGCTCATTTCCAACGGAAAGGAAGGTCAAATTTGTATTTAACACAATAATTTACACTATAAAAACCCATTTCCAAAAGTCAATTAGGTGGTGGCAACTTCTAAATATTGACCAGGCAGATCTCATTGAAACATTCAAAACCATGAAAGGGACAGAAAATATGAACCTGGGATATTCCTTTCTGATGTCATGCACCACAAGTATAAGAAATCCATTACACACGTGTAAAGATGCATATATAAAAAGTGGATGAAAACACTGGATGCGAAAATAGATAAGGGTAATTATTGATGACTGACCTGCCGGCGAATTTTAATAGAAAACGATTATATAAACACCACAATTTCACTGTGTTTTATAGTAGACACTGTCGTAGCTTATGTTAAAAGGTGATTATTTATAATTTTAACCTAACCTAACCTGAGTTGAGAAAAAACCAAGTGGCAGAACCTAACCATAGAAACCTACCTAACCTTACCTAACTTCCTAGCAATATATATATATATATATATATATTAAAATTCGTTAGATACCCGAAACGATAACTTTACCCTCACTGATGAAAATATAGTAAGAAAATAAACATCAAAACTAATAATGCTTCGGCGGGCCAGTCGTTAATATTAACCTAGAAAAGTATCAGAGCTTAATTGTAGGACATGTAGATGTGGCGATAAATGGAGCCACACATGATATGTCCAATGTTGGAAAATACTATAAACATGGCCAAAAAGAACACATTTTACAGCGGCCTAGAACCAACCAAACAATACCTTTACAAAGCTACTTTAATACTGGTACACTGCTTAAGGTTTGGCTTGATTGTTTTCATGGAAATACTAAGTGAATATAATATCTAACAATTCCAATCATAATTTTCCTGGTAACATTGGCCACCTTGCTTCACGCATAAGTGTGTTTACAGCGTCACCCCTAGCAACCAGACCTCTGCCTCACTTCCATCACGACTTTAACCACAAAAAACACAACCATCAGTTTGGTAAAGGATACATTTTAAACCCTTGTAAAATATCTTCAGATCTCGATGGCATTTTGATTTGAAGAAGAACACTAGCGAGGGAGGAATGTAAAAGTTGGACGACAAGTTGTACTCCACCGTGTCCCTCACAGTCTCATCCTCGACTGACCTACAGAACGAGTCTTCCAGTTGGTCCGGATTGTCTATTTACTTCAATAAATACTATAATATTGCCAAGATTAGAACAGGGATGAACTTCTGTATATCCCGTAATTCATCTAATTAGATATCATTAATTGATATTATAGCGAACTGACTTATAACTTTTTAATTTATTTTCAGACCTCTGTAAACCATCATAGAATGTTAATCTAATCGTTTCTCAAAAGTCTACACATTCCTATGAAAATAAAAACACATAGGTGAGTAACACGGACAGGATACTATATTGATTATTTCACAGATGACCTTTCTTAAGTATTAGCAATCTCCAGGAGGTCGATTGGTTATTATGTAGATATCTGGCGTCCCACTTACACATTGATCCCTACCAGAAATCCACATTCTTCCTCTTTATTATAATTGACATTATTGTTAATTTCATCACTACAGTCTTATTATTACTATTATCATTGTTGTTGTTATTACAACTAGCTAGCGTAGTAGTATAGTCTGTATCGACATACGCACAATTATAGAGTATAGTGAGCCTGACCAGTACTAGAGAGTATGCCACGAGGGTACTACGCCTATTTACTCAAAGATATTTGGACCCGGGAACGATCGACAAAGACTCGACACGCATGAAAGGCAACTGGAAGGGTATAGACGTGGATACTTTCTTTACGATCGCCTGATTAATGGCACGAAATCGTCATGTGTACCCGTGACAAGTAGTGTAGTTGTTTGTGATATGCTGGGAGTACAAATAGACGATGCCATTAAAACCTATACTATGAAGAGCTGATCTCAATGACAAGAATGGTCGAAGAAACTAAGATTCTACTGCACCTGGGATGTATCAACGGTAAGAAGGCCTATCACATGTCCCAACGGGACGAAGAAACCGCATTGGGACTGAATGCGAGTAGGACCTAGGTGTGTACGTTGACAATGAACTGAAGTTCTCGGGCCATTGTGAGAAGGTGAACCAATCAACTAAATTATTGGGGCTTATAAGGATGTTCAGATATCTAGACGGTACGTCCTTCGTAACTATCTTCAAGAGAGAGGTGCTTCCCCGACTGGAGTACTGTCACCCCGTCTGGTCACCCGAGATATGCTTGGGACTGTCAGTTGATTAAAAATGTCCAAAAGGAGGACCACCAGAGTGGTGCCTGCACTTCGGCACCTGAGCTACCCAGAGAGATTAGAGCGCCTGCACTTGCCTAGCTTGCACTACAGACGGGCACTACTCATTCGAGTGCCCTTACCTGGAGCTGACGGACGCTCGCCCCACGAGGGGTCGCAGCTCAAGGTTGAAGAAGCCGCAAGTCCAGGAAACTGTGAGGGGAAACTTTTTCAGAGTGAGAGTTGTGAACTCGTGGGACAATATGCCAGAGAGTGTTGTGACGGCACAGAGTGTGAGCTGTTTCAAGACCATACTTGACCAACAGTGGAGCAGGTTCAGATACATTCAGGAGCCGGTGCATGCCCAGTACTTGCCAACAGTGTGTAACAGAGACGTGACCGATCGTTCAAGCGGCTAACGAGCCGATCAGTAGTGAAGAGGATAAAGTAACACTAACAAGAGCGTAAGCTCCTATAGTGTGCGGTCTACCGAGCTGGAGTTGTTTCTCCCGGTATATTTACACTGTAGCATCCATTAACCCAACCTACCTTAGGTTAGGTTAAGTTAAGAAAGGTTAGGTTAAGCTATATTACATTAAGTTAGGTTAGGTTGGGTTAATAGACGCTACAACTGTAAATATCCCAGTAGTCCGTATACTACAGTGGCACCAACAAGAGATGTGCTTACGAAATGCACATAGCCCACTTTGGTTGTAAGCCGTAAAACCTGGACTCAACCAAAGAAAAAATATAAGAGTGAAGGATGGAGTTGGTGTACTGTACAGTGGTGAAGAGGATAAAAGTAGTATTGGTCTCGACAATCCTTAATTATTTATATTACAGATGCATAACAAACAAGATCTTATCTAAGGTAGTATCTAAGTTTTCTATGGTGTAGTTTTTTTTTTAAGTTTACCTTTATCCTCTTCGCCACTGGTTAATTTCAAAAGCCAGTGCAATAAGTACATGCCTAGTACTTGCCAACAGTGCGCAACATAGAATTTACCAACAGCCCGAAACGATTTAATAAATGTTATTTGCTTTATGATAACTTGACACAAACCTAACCAAAGATAACTTAATTTAGAATTGATAGTGTAATTTTTGTTGGGGTTGATTAACTTAGAAAATATGAAGAGATTTATGGTTTAGTTCGTGGTACATTTTTAACAGTGTGTTGTGCGGGTTGAACGTGTATCAAGCGTTGACTTAATCATGTATATCAGGTAATATTTTAGCTTGTGGCTTGATGAAACTAATTATTACCAAATTTAGTCATAATTTTATGCAATTGAGTTATAAATATAGTATATTAAATTTGTTTTTGAATTAAAATCCCAGAATTTATTATATGAAGTCGACTATAACCAGTGACAGGCAAAATGGGGACGGCGGAGAAGGTAAACAGTGATGCTCTCACTGTATATTATTAATATTCTCTGTATATACTTGTTATAGGTTAGAGGAAAGGATAATGAAAAGTTAAATTGATATAGTGGAAGTGACAGGAACTGTGCTGTTATTGCTTTTACCTTAAAATGTGGGGATAACGATCAGTGCATCGTTTGTCGTTATGGGTACCTTTATTGGTCGCGGATTTCATTATAGTATTTCTAAAATTACCGGATTAAGGAACCTTCCCTACACTGACGATAGTTTGTATTTGAAATAACAACAGATTCTTAAAACTTTATTGTAAAATAGTTCCTTCTACAGTATATTAAATTATTTCATCGCTTGTCAGCTGACTAGCTATTCGGGCTGTTGGTCTGTTCTTTGATATTTTATTATGGCCTTTATTGTCCAGTGTTATACAAGAGTAAATGTTTAGTAGGTCACACGTAGGTCACACTGGATAACACCCTTCTCATATTTGTGTTGGACTGGGGATTGAACCCAGGACAGTCGTGAAAGGTGCTTGCATTACCACTGTATCCTCGAGCAACAACCCCAATAGCCCAGTATTGACTCAAGAAGTACTGTAATTATGTTAATTCTTACCAATGTTGTGCACCTTGACCAGCTATAATAGAAACTTTTGTATAAATAAAAAGTTTTATATGCAGTGAATAGCCTACATTCACCCCAGAAACTAATTATAAAAATTGTGGATAGTTTTCACTCCAGAAATTGTATATCCATCCTCAGCCACGCTTGAACTATTTTTATTGAGATACAAGTTGTAAGTGACCACTGTCTCTTTAATGTTAATAACCATTAAACATAGTCATTGCTGATTTAAATGAATTACGTAATTTGTCATGTTCAGAACATTATTCCTATTTTATTTATTGACACTGAAACATGTATAATATTAAAGAGTCATCATCTGTTCTACGGTGCTTTCATACAGTTGGAGTCTACCATAGCTACTGATCATAGAATGCTGTATGGTAATTTTTACAGATGGAGGTGGAAAACAAGAAAGGTGAGGGCTACAAGCCTTACTATACTCACAAGACAGAAAATCTACAAGTTATTATATCAGAGAAAATGCAGGACCTCAGAAGACTGCAGGCTCAACGCAATGAGTTAAATGCAAAAGGTAAATGCTTTCTTGACATTTTTGCTTATATTTTTATAACCTATATATGGTAGAATATGCAGTAAGTGCTCAATGAGGAGGAGATTGTGGTCTTCATATAAATGGCATGGGTATAGCAGAGAGAGAGAGAGAATTAGGGAAGATCTTGCAAATGTAGACAAATTTTATATAAGATTTATTGCATTTCTAAGTACCATATTGAACTTATTAATTTTTTCACCAAAAGAATTTGCCTGCATACATTAACTGTTATGTGTGTTTCCTTGGATATTACAGTTCGCCTACTTCGTGAGGAGCTTCAGCTGCTGCAAGAGCAGGGCTCTTATGTAGGGGAAGTAGTGAAGCCAATGGACAAGAAGAAGGTGTTAGTTAAGGTTCATCCAGAGGGCAAGTTTGTTGTTGACCTTGATAAAAACATTGACATCAATCAGGTCACAGCCAATGCCAGAGTGGCACTACGGAACGATTCATATACTCTTCATAAAATTCTACCCAATAAGGTATATATATATATATATATGTATATATATTTAAGAATTTACAATGATTATTTAATGTTAGCTTTGGAATCAATCCCACATTAAAGGATACTTTAATTGTAAACTAAAGCAATGCACTATTGATATTCAGAGATAAAAATAATAGTCAATTGTAAAACTTCTTTACATTTACTTTGACTCTCCCATTTAGGTTGATCCACTGGTGAGTCTGATGATGGTTGAGAAGGTGCCTGATTCTACATATGAGATGGTTGGTGGTCTTGATAAGCAAATCAAGGAGATCAAAGAAGTCATAGAGCTTCCTGTTAAACATCCTGAACTCTTTGATGCCTTGGGTATTGCTCAGCCTAAGGGTGTGTTGCTGTATGGACCTCCAGGGACAGGTAAAGAACATATTTGCTTTTGTTGAATCTGAAGAATCGACTAACCTGTTTTCTGAATTGAAAATATTGTCGGTGGCATTTTGTAGTATGTTTGGTACACAATATTTATGTTGCCTATATGTATACAGTAATGGTCTTTGTAATTGATCACAAAATATAACTTAAAATTTATGAAGAATAACCAATCTCAAATTTCCTTCGTTAACCCCATGACCACCTCCACGATGCAACCAGTATCCACCATTTTAGTCAAAACTTTAATTGATTAACCAATTAGTAAGACCCATAGGTGGAATCAGTCTAGGATAAAATACTGTACTTTATGTACTTTCCATAAAAATTTAATTTGGGCAATTAAATGTACTTCTTTCAGGTAAAACTTTGCTGGCCCGAGCTGTAGCACACCACACAGACTGTACATTCATTCGTGTCTCAGGTTCAGAACTAGTTCAGAAATTTATCGGCGAAGGTTCAAGAATGGTGAGAGAACTCTTTGTGATGGCTCGTGAACATGCTCCCTCTATTATTTTTATGGATGAAATTGACTCTATTGGATCTTCTCGCATTGAATCGGGTAGTGGGGGCGACTCTGAAGTACAGCGAACGATGTTGGAATTACTGAACCAGCTGGATGGCTTTGAGGCCACCAAAAACATCAAGGTATTGTATTTATGAATGCACGAAGTTCCTCTGCATGAAGGTATTTTAATAAGTACATTACGGCTCCTCCCCGACTTACGACCACCCGCACTTACGACTTGCCTCAGTCGTACCAAAATTTGGTCAAATTACGTATTTTCGAGTCCCAACGTCAGCACACAGACAAAATTTTTGAAATGTAATTCACTTTAAAATGGCTGGCAAGCTTAAAAGTGAGAGTTAAAGAGACACCCATTTTAGATTTTCTATATCATTTAAGCATTTTCGACTTACGACCTGGATTTGGGTCCCTAACCACGTCGTAAGTCGGGGAGGAGCTGTATATTATTGCAGTAATGTAGACAGAAGTCAGGATTTCTTCTATTGTTGCCTTTGATATAGGTTCAGCCTGTACTGTATTTTTACTCTGACCTTCCACATGAATTACAGTCTCTTCCCCATTTTCCTTTCAACTCACCCATTCCACATACATTTGGTTTATTAACTTATTCTCATTCATCTTTTTCACGTACTTCCAGAGAATTTGAGTTTTCATCTCATGTTTTCATTATTCTGTTCATTGTTCACACTTGACAACCAATTGTCAGATAATCTACCCCCTACTACTTCCCTTTCCCTGTCAATCTAAAATTATGCACCCATCTCTGTAATATGCTGAACACGGCCTTGATATGACCCCCTCCCCTATCTCTTAACTCCAAGAATATGCTGAGCAGTACCTCAAAATCATACCCTTATTTTTTATTCAAAGTAAACTGATAAGCAAATTTTTTTACATTTTAAAACTTAAATTCATACTTTTATCATTCACTTGAGAGATCCTGACATCTGTCTGTCTTTCAGAACAATATTGAATTATTTGTCTTGAGGTGAGTTCACAACTTCCAGATTCAATGTTTGTTAATATTTTTCCCTATCCCCTTAGTGTGATAAAAATGAAAGTATACACTTAATTCTTTGTGGGCTTAAAGAAAAGTTAACAGTGCCATAATTTTGTAATCAAAATCATAGTTAAATCATAGTATTTTTTCCCTCAACAGGTTATTATGGCCACAAACCGTATTGACATACTGGACCCAGCTCTGTTACGTCCAGGACGTATTGACCGCAAGATTGAGTTCCCTGCTCCAAATGAAGAGGCTAGGCTAGACATTCTAAAGGTTTGTATGCATTACATCAGTTTAGGATGAATACAGAATTAAATCTGTCTGGTTGCTCCATTGAAGAATTATTTATTGCTTAATTTTATATTCACATATTTAAAAAGGTACAGTAGCAGAGTTCTTATAAAATTGGGTTTGGAATCCACTGTTCATACACTTAGATTATCACCAAGGAGGTAATGCTTGACTAAAACAAAGTAGTTTAACTGTATAACTACCAACTTGCAAAGACCCCAACAAGAGTACAGAAATATCCAGGCAGAGAGGAGGTTATATACAGTACTTATCCTAACTCAACCTGTTCATGATACAAGATATGAGTCCTACATACCTGATGCCAAGGGATGCCTCAAGGAAATTCCTCCATTTGCCTTTAAACTCAATTTCTCAGCAAGCTAAGCTCTGACTATTAAGTCTAACAACAGCAAGTATTCCCTGATATATGAAGGAGTTGCATTCCTGAAAATTCATTTGTTAAAAAAAAAACACGTATTAAATGGTAGGACACATGCATTATTGAGGGTTATGTTCCTGGGAGGAAAAATGTTGGTGGAACTAGTGGGTTTTTCACACAAAATTCACCACTTTAATTATGTCCTGTAAAAATAATAGTAAAGAATAAATACATTGAAAATGGTGAACACTACTGTATACTGTACTGGTATAGTAAAGTGTACAAATGCCACAGTGCATCCTTGTTGACCGCATAACAGTTACAAGTTCGCATTCTTTTAAGAAAAAGAGGTGTCAGAATGTTAGTTATTCATTAAAGCTAACATTTACACTCAGAAAGAAAAGAAAAGGGAAACAAATTTCATTATTATTTGTTTGCTTTAGTCTAAAGAAAAAAAAGGTCTCAAGTGGAACTTAAAACAAACTCGTTTATCCAGCATACATACATTATATCAAGGGATACCTGTATTTTGAGTCTTGAAGCTTCATGGCTTGTCATTATTTATTACTTAAAATTTCGCTCTGGCAAAGAGCCAGTACATGAAGTTAATGGAAAATATTAAGGTATAGTCGTGTGTTTAATTAATATATTTTGTGTATCCAGAATTAAGTCTTTATGGGTCTAGTTGACCCTTATAATGTGGTATCAGCTATATACAGGAGGCCTGATCCCCGACTTCTACAGATAATTGAGTGTACAGTACTGTACAGTTTTGTATTATTCTAGTTTAGTACAAGAAAGTGGTGACTACTACACTTGTTTAATAGTTATCCTGATGTGCATTATTCTTTTGCCTGTAATTAGAACATTGTTGCTTGAGTTTTGCCACTGTGAGTGGGAGAGGTTATTGACCAAAATTTTCAAGGACTTTGCTTCCTTAGTCATTCTTCTAGGAGGGACAAAAGAACAACAGTTGAATGAAGTCTTTGGAAAAAATTTAAATTTCTAAATTAATATTTCAGATCCATTCTCGCAAGATGAACTTGACAAGAGGAATAAACTTACGAAAGATTGCAGAAATGATGCCTGGAGCATCGGGAGCTGAAGTGAAAGGTGTGTGTACAGAAGCAGGAATGTACGCATTGCGAGAGCGTCGTGTGCACGTTACGCAAGAAGATTTTGAGATGGCTGTTGCAAAGGTGATGCAGAAGGATAGTGAAAAGAATATGTCTATCAAGAAGTTGTGGAAATAAACTAGTATTTCTACTTTGATTTGTATACTGTAGTTTTAAATTTGTCATTTGAAACTTAATGTACCATACCTTGAGCTATAGGATGCAGGGAAGATGCATCTTTGTTCTATTTATTGTATATTTGTTTACTTATATGTCGATTTCCCTCACATTATTTGTCTAATCAACTTATTTTTTTCATATGCCATTTTTAGATTAAAATTATTTTGTGATTTGGTTAGCGATTATCTGTTTAGGTCTTTGGAAAATAAAAATTTTCAGAAAAAACTAGGTCTTTATTTTACTAAATAAATATACTGTATATATTTTGTCATATGAATACTGTACTTGCTATTTACAGTTAATAATATTTCTAAACTAAACAAGTGCATCATCCATCCTCCCCCATTGTGTCCCTTGGTGTTGCACAAAGTGTGTACCCTGTTTTCATCTTTCTTGCTTGTCCGGACAATATCTTGGGAACTTCTGAGCTAAGAATTTGAAATTTGGACAATAGACTAGTGCTTTGGCTTCCCCCCCCCCCACACACATATTTTTCATAGCATGTTATAGGGGGTGGCACACACTAAATGTAACAATGCATCTCTATTACCTTTATTTATAACAAGCAAAGGTATCCCTCGTTTAGTGATTGGGATGTGTTCCTGAAAAACTATCGCTAAGTGAAATGATTACTGAATGAAGGGAAAACAATAAATAATATCCATGGAGCTGGCATGTAATTGTGTAGCCGACTCGCCACCCAGAAGCACTCGGAGCGAGTGAGGCTGAGCTGTGAGGTCTGTTATTGTTTAACTTGTAAATTCACGATATACGGGGATATCTCTCGGCTGTTCTCTGTCTCTTGTCCCGTGAAATGATTCCCAAATGGCAATGCAGTATTTTTTCTTTTATTTATTATTATTATTTTTATTTATTCCTCACATTTACTGGTACAGTATATACACGACAGTTTATCCAGCCAGTCACCAAACTGACTCAAAAGAAGTGTGTGGTTGCTGCCTGTATGAAGTGATGTCACATTGGAGGAAGGGAGAGTGCAACTGGCCACAGTTACAGCTCTGCCTCAATACAGTATACTGACATTCTAATCCCACACATACATACCCATGCTGTTCAGTTTACTTATTTTACAGTTTTATAGTACATACTGTAAATACTGTACTGTACTGTATACAGTACATTTTGACATTATGCTGTAGTACTGTATTCGACAATTTCCTAATTTTTGTGTTCAATTATTCATTTGTTTTTGCACCTTATTCGGATCGTTCTGAAGATTGTTCCTCATTATTCCAACCAACAAACATAATCAATTACCATGCCTTGGCTGCCACAAAATATTATACTGTACAGTATTTGTCATTACTGTGCAAACAAAGACTTTTTTTTAAATGTAGTACAGTACAAACAATAATAAGAGTAAATGATTAAGTAATAAATAAATGTAACACTTATATTGCGAGGCGAGCTGATTATATGTAGATGATATTTCAAAAGTGTTAACGGTCACACTGGTAAATGAAGTAAGTACCCACAATGGAGAAATAAAAGATGAAATATTGGAGCTGGTATACTAGGACCCTCTTCAGCCAACTAACAGAACAATGCAAGGGAGAAAGACATAGAACTAAGGGATCAGGTCACATGACCTGTCTCCTGAGTATCCAGGATCAGGTCAGTGGACCCCAGACCCGATCCTGAATATTGTACTGTCATCAAGATTATCCTTAATCCTCACCCTACCTCAACTCAGGTGGTGTTTGCTGAATAACAGCCTCAGGTTTAAATCTATAGATTTAGTGGCATACTATATTTGGGTCTCCTTAGAAATTCTTAGTCATTAACAAGGGTTTTATAGATAATAAGCAACTTTTGTTGGCCCGCTGTGCTGTAGAAAAGTTCGATAGAACCATCGATAATGGTGGAGACGGTTAGCACCAGAAGTATTTTATGATACTGCACCAAATTTTCAGATGATGTTGTTTTGACGATATTAAGTAAGAAAAATCACAATACACAACCTGACCTAACCTAACCTAACCAAACAATATCTCTAGAAAAATATAAACGAATTCAGCCCAATATAAATCATAATAAACATGCCCAATGAAATTGTCGTTCATTTCTTGATATATATAATATAAACAAAGACCACTGATGCTCCCATATAGCAGACTGTGAACCAAAACATGGTTGCCACAGGAGATCTGACGGCGCCATAATTAAGGAAAATAATTTATATCTTCATCTACAAAGCACGTAGATGTAAAATTACTGCCATATGCCCACTAACAAGTAATTTATGATCAAATGATAAGTTAAAAAGAAAAAAATACTACAATGTTGTCATTTCGATTTTATTACCCAGTATCATCCAAATAACATTTGAAAATTTGGTGCAATTCCATAAAGTCTTTCTGGTGCTAACCATCTCCACCATTACCTGCTGTGACCACAACTGGCAGCTACCCAGGCTTTTAGTTTTCACATATCTTTGTAACACCAGGACTGAGTGCAATCCATGCATTTTGAGTTTATATCTACTCTGTACAGGTAGTGTAGCTCCTCAAATCTGGGACCAAGACCAAATTGGTCATCCATGTTACCTAAAGGCCTACCTGGAGACAGACAATATTTGTTTCCCCACACACTCAGTCTTATGTTTGTTTTACTTTTTAAATAACATCTTAAAAAAATCGTTGTATGCATACATGAGATAAAAACTTACCTTAAATACAGTCTATTTAGAAGTAGAGAGGTTTCCAAACACCAATTACAGTTACAGGGTTTGTTGACACCTCAGCCCAGCAGCTTCTAAGTTGTCCCTACATTTGCCACAAGCAGAGTTCATAAATAATTATTCTGATTGAAAAAAATATCCCACTACCTTGTTTATCTTTGCTTGTATTTATTCATATTACTGTATTTTTGTTGTCACATAACTTTTGAAATCAATACAAGTAAAATTAAACCAAAGATTTATTGTAACTTATGCCAGATGCTGCTGGGGTGTCACCTCAAACATTGTAACTTACATTTAGAAAACTCAACTTTTAAATAAACTGTAGGAAACTAAACTTCTAAATAGATTAATTAATTTATTGAATTTTATTCCAGAATCTGCAAGGAAAACTTGACATAGTAAGGGAAAGAAAATCTATCTTCACCCATGGTAAAAAAATGTTAAGTTTTCCAGAATCTCTGGTTTTCTGAAATCCAGTTTTGAGGGTCTTCAACTGTACTAGCTGTGTTTTATTATGCCCCCCCTAATGCTCATGTACAGTACCTTTCTAGTGATACTACAGCTATTAAGAAAATGAAAAAGTATTTTGAAACCGCAACTAGCCACTCCTCCAGAGGCAGAAGCATCATTTGTCATGCACCTCTTGCTGTTCTAGATTACCACTGCACTCCAGAGTTAATGTTATAGCTTTTGTGCTGTGTCTGTACCCTGTGTATTAGTTCTATGTCTATTACAGTGGCTCCTGAGTACCCTTTGGAGGGTTACAGCTAACATGAAAAGTTTTAACTTTATAAACAAAACAAATTGCACACACTGCCCACCTGCTTCCTTGACCATCACAAACATCCACCACTGGTCAGTTTAAAGCCCCGTCCACACGATTGAGCAGTGCCCAGCGGGCTTTGCCCGTTTACCGGGCAAAGCCTGTGTGTTGTACACATGGGGGTGGTTGGCGGCAGTCATAGTCGGGCGCCGGTAGCTAGTAGGTGGTCGGCAGTGGCGGGTGCGGTACGATCACCATGGTGTGTCGCAGGAATAATCGCCGGACAGTTAAAGCGAAGAGCATAGCATTGTGTACTATAATAATTGCTGCTATGTGCAAAAAGAAAAACCAAATGCAGAAAAGGGAATGGTACAAAGAGTGGTTAGGTTGAAGAAAAGTATTGGGAAGTCATGCCACGATTTTACGTGAACTGCAAGATGGACATGAGCAAGACTTCACCAATTACATGAGAATGGACCCCAACAGCTTTTACAAACTTCTAGCAAAAGTGGAACCATATATAAAAAAAACAGGATACCAATATGAGGGAGAGTATATCTGCAGAGGCTCATCTAGAGGCAATGCTCATATATCTTTCAACTGGGTGCACCTACATGTCACTTCAATATAGAACGAGGATATCAAAACAAAGTTTGTCTCGCAAAATACCTGCAACTTGTCAAGCCATGTATGAAACACTCAAGGAAGATTACTTGCAGGTGAGATTTGTAGAACATAAAAATTCATTGAATAATGTTAGAATTATGATATGCATAGACAGGAAGCTATGGGACTAGAGTGAGGAGAGCGGCAGGAATGGAGAACACACACGAATGTCCTCATTACATAATACATAAACAATCTCCCGTTTATTGTCATGCCAATAATGTACACTGCATAAGCTTATTTGGTTATACACTGGACATCTGGACCGAGCGGGGAACATATACGTATCACATTTGCAGTACGTAACTCAGGTCGTCGCTCCATATCCGGCAGCAAACCACCAGGCAGGCGGACCATGATTTCGCTCAACGACGGGCACGGGCACTCCTGGTTTGCCCACCAATTTTGTCCGATAACGGGCATTTAGCGCGTGCCCGCCGGGCACTGCTCGATCGTGTGGACGGGCCTTAATGTTTCCCTACCTTTAGAAGCATATACAGTATACTTATTTGAACACTTCTCCTATGGGTGGGATCATACATATACTCTATGTATCCAAGTCTAACTCCCTATACCCAAGACAAGTTAACTAAGCTCATGCACAGCTTCACTCTACAATGCTATTCTGTACCCTACCTCAACACATTTTTAGGAGATTATTGTACAGATGTGGAAAAGTGTTCCTACACCCCCTGTAGTAACCCGTGTCTCCAAATGACAATGTCGCAGTAGTAATATCACTATTCAGGGGCGAAAACCAGGATTATCAAAAGTGGGGTCCAAGAAGTTGTGGGTGGGGGAACATGGCGAGCACACCCAGCTGGTTTTTTTTTTGTTGGGGGGGGTGTTGCTGTAAGCAACCCCCCCCCTCATTTTTTTTTTTAAATCTGACAAAAATCATGGGCATTTTGAGAAGGTGTGCACTTGATATTCGGAGATATTATGAGGTCTACAGTAATTACTTTTTACTATACAAAAATGCCTGACTGCATACTACTACATCAAAGAAAAGGTATTGGAATTTTCTGATGAAAAGGGGGGGTCCAGACCCCCCTGCTATTTATGAATGAATGGGTATTGGTCATGTAATGGCAGACTTGATTGGTGGATAGGTTTGCTATAGATCATATAGGTTGGCTGTTTGGAGATATGGGTTACCACAGGGGTGTAGGAACATACTTCCATGGTTTTGGCTCCTAGTAAAGAAGGGCAAAGAGGATTGATTAAAATATCTTGAAAAAATACAATATTGTATTTATATTATTATAAATAAATTTATTTTGTTGACATTCTAAAGTACAAAGTAATTTCTATAATATTTATTGTCTTGAATAGTGCTTGCAAGACTTCTATGTGAGATACAAGAACACTAACTTGTACGCAAAAATAAATGAATGGACATTATGTTGCTCAGTTCCTCCTTCTTCTGACTCGGGATATTCTCCAAGCGTTAGGTTCTTCATACTTGTTATATAGGGGTTCAAGTCTCTGGTTTTTCTTATACTTGCTTAGTTTGGTTGGGTCACCCTGCTTGAAGAATGATGGGGCAAATTCCACCAACCACTTTGGGTCGATGGTTGTCACCTCACGCATGTATTCCTTTGTAGTCTGCACCAGTTCATGGTAAACGACCCTGAAGTAAATAAGGTACATTAGATAGAATACAAATACAAAATTATAAATAAATGCAGAATATATGAGTTATCAGATATAGAAAATTTAGTCAAAAATTCTCTTTTTTGGGAAGGGGGAGCACATAATTATGTGGCTCCCCTTGCCTGCATCGTATATTTATGGCTTACACATTGGAAATGATTCCACCAGAATGGGACTGTAAATACAGTTTATTTGGAGACTATGATGAACCAAGGATTCAGTATAACATTAAGTGACTGTATGGTAAAAGAGTGGATGTCTGCATTTAATGTACAGCTACAAACTGAATCAAAGATGGTGGAATGGTTCTGAAACAGGATGACGGGGCCATTAGAATAGCAAGAAGTGTGCTGTTTGGTTAGACATGGCCCTTTAATGCCTGCTGCATCCTGATGGCAGCTGTTGAACCTGATCTTCCAAATTTTGGGTTGATGGGTGAGACAGGCAAGTGGGGATGAAAGCTGTACACTTTGAGTTAATATACAGGTTGGACCCCGCTAGTCCGGGACCCGATAGTCCGGTTGCTTCGATGGTTCGGGATGATGTCGTAACTCACTTCTAGTGGCTGTTGCCACTATTTTACATTTAAATACTTATAATTAACTCCTAAATATGCCTCCTAAGAGACCAACAAGCAGTGGAAGTGGTTATAATGCAGCGAAACGTAAGCATGTGACATTAACTATTTTAGAAAAGATGTCTCTACTTTACAAATTAGTACATTTATGCAGTATTTTGCCTTTTTAAACCTCGGATTCGGTGGTTCGGAATTTTCGCTAATCCGGAACCGGTCTGGTCCTAATTTTCCCGGATTAGTGAGGTTCAACCTGTATCACATTGCCTGAATGATTGAGAGCAGTCTGAAAACATAGGATGCCCTCAAAGACAGCCTGAAAAAGAGTAAAGTACTAGTCTGAAAATAATAAAAGGAATATACTGTACTATACTTAAGTGGTTAAACATATACTCAGAAGGAATATACGAGACTAGAAGTAAACAGATGGAATTGAAATACAGGGTAGATGAAAACCCTAGGAAATAATACTCAACAACTAATAAATATCTAACATTCAGTGCAAGAGAATATGTTAATACCATCCAGAAAGATGACATAACACTCAACATGTAAGGCATCCAATACAATACTCCTAAAAAGAGAGAATGAGAGTGAAAAATATAGTGTTTTCCATTAATAATAGTCATGCCTTCTGCTGTCAAGTCCATAATTCTTGACTAGAGCAATGGAGAAAACTGATTAATTATCAAATTTCTCTAATTTAGTTGTAATATAATGTAATGTATCAACACACCAAGTGTGGCTAAAATCCAATGTCATATGTTAAAGGAAATTTTATGTGCACCACTTCAGTGTCCCCAGCCTCTGGAAGTGCAGATACAATATTTTAAATTAATTTTGTAGCAATACATACAGTATATTGTGAAAATATGCTTTACTGAATTTTCTTGTTCTACATACCATTCTGGCTGTCTATTGAAGAGAGCTGATGAAGGGTGAATGTACACCACCTGGGAGTCCACTAGTGTTCGATAGCCCTCCTGAGGATCCTTCTTGGCTGCATTTCGAAAGAACCCAGAACAGATTGCCTTCTGAGCTCTAGCAACGTTCTTGCCACAGGACACTACGTCCAGTTTGTGTCTTTTGTTAAACAGAAAAAATTATCCCTAAAAGAATAATCCTTTACACAAACAAATGAGATTATGTACCAAATGACTAAAAGCTGAAAAATATCACACAAGATAAAGAAGAAAACAGCATGCCTTTAAAATTCGCTGAGGTTGGGTTCTCAAAATGGCCGTGAATAACATTTGCTGACCAGAGGGGGGTGGGGGGCATTTTTACTCGTGTTCAAAGAAATGTACAGTGTATTCTCTTTATGTGTTTGCCCTTAGGACAATTATTTCTTTTATGTACCTGTATTGTATATATGTGTAAGTGTGTGTGTAGACACACAGACATGCACCAAACACATACAAGTAAATAATAATGGGAAAATCCTCTCACAAATAATCAGAAACAAGACAACAAAATTAAAAAAAAAAATGTGAGTCTACCTTCAAGTCAACTCCGTGCTTTACCTTTAAAAATAAAGCACTTAGTTGGAGGGTAGACTCACATTTTTGTTTAATTTTGTTGTCTTGTTTCCGATTATTTGTGAGAGGATTTTCCCATTATTATTTATTTGTAGTATGTGCTTTGTGTGTGTGTCTACACACACATATACAGTAATATCTCCCTTAGTTGGAATCCCTCAAACCTGGAACTCTCCGATAGCCAGAATTGAAATTTTCTCGGAAAATCGTTCCCAAAGCCGGATAATTCCAGGGGGAGTTTTTTACGGGTTTGAGAGATGACAATCAGGAGGATTTTCTGGAAATTCCAAGAAAATATTTCCGTTACCCGGAAAATTCTGGGGATGAGGGATATTTTTTCGGGTTCGAGAGATAATGTAATGGGCAATTTCTGGAACTTCCAAGAAAATATTTCCATTACCCAGAAAATTCCGAGGATGAGAGATTTCTTTCCGGCTTTGAGAGAGTCGTCTCGGTGCCCGGAAATCTCTTATTCCCGGAAGTGCTCTGCACCAATTGTTCTGGCTAACAGGGATATCACTATATACAATACAGTACTATACAGGTAAAAGAAATTACTGTCTCTAGAACAAATGGCTCTCTGTCTGGTCCGTGTAAATGCCAGCAACTTTAAAACTACTCTTAGACATTCTTGGGTACATTTAGGGTGTCATCCATGAATAATTGAGGTCTGCGAATTGTTAGGGCATGCTGTACTGTATGTACAGTATTGCCAAAAATTCCAAATGCTATCCACACAAAATGACTTTAAAGTTCATTAAAGCAGACAACGAATTTCACACCTATTGCAAACTACTGAATTCCCTTCACATGCCAAGTTCCATCTACATCTTGTGAAACTCTTTCATAATACCACTCCTCTTACACAGAATTTATCTTTGGTTCCCTATAATTCCCCTTCACCATATTCACTCAATTTCAAATACTTATATTTTCTAAACTTCATCTACCCACATGCACATGCTCTCTCTGTAATCTTTGCCCTTTACATTAATAATAATGTTCTTCATAACACTGTATCCTTAAAAGTTTCCTCATGTCTTTAACAACTTTGCATACAATGGATAACATGCTTGCTTGAACAGCATTAAAATAGGCTGAGCCATTCTATCCAGTAAACCTTACCACATGTGATGGCTTAAATTTTGTCTTCCAAATTCTTTTTATACATCATTTTTTAATATTATCTCTGATATCTATCTCCATTCTCCATTCTAGCATCTTTGCTGAATATATCAATATTCAATACTGTACTCTAGATCTTGCTTCATCTCCTCTTACTCTGAAGGGTCCTCCTGACTTTTATTGTCCTTTAACTTTCCCTTTCTCTCTCATGAACACACACACACAATCTTCTAGGCTCCTTCAACAAAGATTGTAATTTTTATGACAGGCTCCCAATTATTACTTTATCATTTGCACGCAACAATTTTAAAAACTTAAACTCCCTTTAGTATTGTTTATCTCTAAACCTACTGGTACTGCACTAAATAATTCTACTCCCAACAGAGGGAAAAATTTAAAGACACTCACCTGTCCATTATACCAAGCAGTTGCTTTCTGACATCTTGAGCTCTTTTGAGTGTGCGCATCTGTACAAAGTTTTCATAGCACCAAGCATTGGAAAATTTATTGTTTTTCCAAGAGTTGTAGACTGCAAGTAGTGTGAGATGATCCCCTTCAGCTTGATTGAATTTTGCTTTCTTTTGATCAGCTAAAGCCTGCTTTTCTTTAGGTCTGTCAAAAGAGTTTAAATATTGTCATGGCAAGTAATATTTATACATTTCAAATAAAATATATACTGTACACAGTGGTCCCTCGATTAACGAACGGTCCAATTAACAAAATTTCGGTACATGTTTTTAACGTCCCTGTAAGAAACATCCCTTCATTAATATATAGTATATGTGTTATAATTACCAAAGGTAAATCGTCTCTAATCACTAATGGAAGTGTAAAGCCACATCCATTCATTAAAACAAATCGTACCAATCCGGTCTATCCCTAAATCTGCTAAGCAGTGACCTTGTATGGGGCAACCATCCGCAATTCCCGATACATGTACTGTACTGTTAGTCTGCCAGAGGGTACAGGTATTTCCATTTTATACATATCTCAATAAAGACAAGTTGTAGTATGACTAGGTTTACTTATTGTAATACTGTATACTGATATATATATATATATATATATATATATATATACACAGGTAAAAGAAATAATTGTCCTAAGGGCAAACACATAAAGGAATACTGTATACATTTCTTTGTAACCCCCCCCCTCAGCAAGTGTTATTTGCGGATTTGGCTATTCGTGGCCATTTTGAGAACCTACCGGTAACCCCTGCAAATTTGAAGGGCCTACTGTACCAATTACTCTGGGTAACAGGGATATCACCTGAACTGTACTTTTTATAAAATGGCTGATTTTTTTAATAACACCAATTGCTATGTAGGTCCCGTGTAACCAACTGATTTGTGAGACTCAAAATAAGTTACTAACTAAACACGACTTCAGTGCCATGAAGAAGCAAGAAAATGTTTTCCTTATAAGCGAAACCATTCTACCAGGAAAAAATGCTAAACTGTGTGGCCCCAACTGCAAACAACTAGTACGACAAATAAAGACATACTGTGATTGGAATTGGGGAAGTAGAACAGGTGCAAGCTGACCAAAGGCAAGCACGGCTCAGATTGAAGATGAATTAATGTTGAGATCGCCTCGCCATCTTATCAGCAAACATTGCTCACATGACAATGATCCTTTAGCTTTATTCTTTAAATACAAACTCTTATTCTTTTAAGTGGACTCTTACCATTAATGTTGTAGAAATCTAGAATTGTCTATGTTCTTATTTCAAAATATTTGGTTGGATGAATAACACAGGTTCCCCCAGCATGGTCATGAGTTTTAACCTGGAAAATGATTCTTTTCAACATTTTCAATTATAAATTGGATAGGTGATACACATGTACAGTCAGTCCTCGACTAACGGCGGGGTTAGGGACCGACGACCAGGTCGTAAGTCGAATTGGTCGTAAGTCGAAAATGCGAAAATAATACATAGAAAATCTAAAATGGGTGTCTCTTTTTCTTCTCAGCACCACGAGAACTCTCACTTTTACGTTTAGTAGCCATTTTAAAGGGAATTACAAACGAAAATTTTGTCAGTACACAGCGCGATCACTAACGTTGGGACTCGAAAATATGTAATTTGAAAAATATTTTATATCACTGCGGCGGTCGTATGTCCGGGTGGTCGTAAGTAGAGTAGGTCGTAAGTCGAGGAGTACCTGTACTTATTACCTGCATTGCTGGATGTCTTGAGGTAATAATGAAGAGCTTCTAAATCATTGTGTTCCTTGGTTAAACTATTACTGTACAGTAGAAATACATTCTGTATTATCAAAGCAAGAATGGCTTAAGAAGAAGACAATAAATAACATAATTTAAGAAAATTCAAAACATTAGTTGTCAATAAGTCCCAGTTAATTTTGGTCTTTCACTATCACAACTGGTGACCAAAACCCTAGTGCAAATAATCCATGACCCCTCAGTTCATGGAGAGAAAATAGCAGTTATTGTTCTCGTTGAAGAGGCCCATTTAAAGCTACCACATTGAACCAAATCTGTTCTTGAGATATCACATTCACATCTCAGAATCATGCACACAATGATAAGAAAGGTGGACAAAACCTTCAGGTCCCCTCCTCCTAAGCAGCAGGGAATAAATACAGTACTGTATGTATATAATTTAGTCTGTGAATCAAGCTTCACAGGAAAAACACGCGAAAACTCACCTGTAAAATACATTTTGCACCGACAACATGGAGACAATGGTAAGGATTTCATCTGAACACTGTAGATGCACTGACATAATAAGCATCTTGGAGAGGTTTGGATCCAGGGGAAATTCAGCCATTCTCCTACCCAGTCTTGTTAGCAGACCCTCATCGTCTAGTGCACTGTAAGCAACGTGGCCATGTTACCAGTTTTATCTTCTTGGAATTCTTTTTAATCCTTAAAATTATTTTATCAAAACAGGTAGGGTGGCTGTAATTAGTAATGACACAAACTTTCTCATCATTCACTGTCATTCATAACTGTTATATCTGAGGTATCCTGCTGCAGTGTTTCCCTTCAAAATTACAGTACATGGAAATTTCCCTGACTTACATGAGTAACAATACTTGTTACCATATTTGGGATTAATATACATGTACTATATATCCTTTCCTACTCACTGTTATTCATAGAGAGCCACTCAATCCTTATTGCCTGCTTATTGTAGTAAAGATTTTTCCCCAAAGAAAAGAGGTAAAGCTGGCTTACCTGAGAGAGTGAAGAGTTTCAAGAGCCATTACCATAGCATCTGTTGGGGGAGGGTCCATGAAGGCAAAGCCCAACAAATCATTGATTCCCATGGCTTTGAGCTGCAGCACGGTAGTAGCAAGGTTAGTCCGCTGTATCTCTGGTACACTTGTTGGTAACATCTCATCTCTGTGTTAACACCAAGTGAGGTACATTAGTTAGTGTCACACATTAAAACAAACCAGTTGTCATACCAACGGTAAATGGCCATACCATGTTGAAAACATAGCTTCTTGCCCGATCAGTGAAGTTTACTGATATTGTGTCTGGTTAGTACTTTGATGGGTATTGCCTGGGAACAACTGATGCCTTAATATGAATTACAAGTACTATTACTGGATTATTATTATTATCATTATTATAGCCAGTTGTTCTCCAGCTCTGAGACTACTGCCATGATATAAATATACAGTACAGTACAGTATATATAAAACAGTACTGTATATAAAAGTTCAAAAGCCATTTAAGTCACCAATCTCTTCACAAAGGTTACCAATGACTTTCCCCTGAAAATTACAAAACTATACAAGAAAATTTCTGAAAAATTTAATTGCATATTAAATATATATTGTATAAATATAATAAATAATAAGATAAAAACATAAATTATTAAAGCCATTTAAATCCATTGAAACACTACTTTGGATATCAATGGCCTTCAATCAACTGGAGGAGAATATTTCTCTGAAACTATACACACAGGCTCTGTAAACATAACCAAATAAAAGTTTTAGTTGTTCTCATTCCAGCTATACCGTCCCATAACAGGAAAGGGTTTACAAAAAAAAGAAGAAAGTTCTCTAACATTTAAACAATAGCACAGCCAGATTTACCTGTAAGCACGCTCAGTGTACAATCTGTATGTTTTTCCTGGTCCTGTCCGTCCAGCACGGCCAGCACGCTGCTTGGCTCCTGCTTGGGACACTGGTGTGACCATCAATGAGTCCATGCCAGTCTTAGGGTTGTACACTTTCTGCTTGACAAACCCTGTAAAAAGCATTTTTTCATGACATCCAAGAATTTTATAAGCTGCATACAAATTTGGAAAAAACAGCAAAATCTTTTCATGAAGTAACTTGAAATACATGAGCAAGAAAATCTCTACAAGGACAACTGTAATGCATGATACATATTTTTTCTCTCTGGATTTTCTATTTTTTTAATCTTATCCTCCTTTAGCAACATGTACACTTTATATAGTTTCAGTTTCTTTTATAAGAAAAAAAACTCATTATGTTTTTACATACCTGGATCTACAACATAATAGATGCCATCAATAGTAAGAGACGTCTCGGCAATATTGGTGGCAATCACAACCTTTCGTGATCCTGGGGGTGCTGGCTCGAATATTCTTGTTTGCATTTCAGAAGGCAGTGCTGAATACACAGGTAATATAATAAGTTCTGGCACATCACTCCCAAGAGCTTTCATGCGTTCATACAAGAGTTCACACGCAGTATCAATTTCCTCCTGACCAGTGAGGAAGACAAGAACATCCCCTGGTGGCTCAGAGAGATGAATCTGCATTACAGTAATAAGAGCTGCATCAAGATAATCTGTTTCAGGTTCTCTTGTGTAGAGGATCTCGACTGGGAAAGTTCTACCAGGAATTGTAAAGATTGGAGCTTGATTGAAGTATTCTGAAAACTTAACAGCATCTAACGTGGCTGATGTAACAATAAGTTTCAGTTCAGGTCTTTTTTCCACTGCTTGCTTTAAAAGACCAAACAAAACATCTGTATGAATACTCCTTTCATGAGCTTCATCCAACATGATGCAAGCATAACCTGACATATCTGGGTCAATGAGACGCTCTCTTAGCAACATACCGTCTGTCATGTATTTAATAACTGTCTCTGAGCTTGTACAGTCCTCAAAACGAATGGTATAACCAACTTCCTGTCCGAGTCTGCACCCAAATTCTTCTGAGACTCTCTTGGCAACTGACATGGCTGCCACTCTCCTTGGCTGGGTGCAGCCAATCTTTCCCTTAGCAGTAAAGCCTGCCTCTGCGAGATACTGAGTCATCTGTGTAGTTTTACCAGACCCAGTTTCACCAACAACAATAAGGATCTGGTTGTCATCAATAGCCTTAATAAGCTGGTCTCGTAGTTTGTATATAGGAAGACTCTGCCGCTGCTCTAGAAGGGACATATTGGTTTTCCTTCCATATGATCCTCGAGTACCACCTGATAAAGAGAATAAGATAACATGTTAATGTACTTTATGGCTCAAGTGAGTCATAAGGAAGCTTCAATAAGCAGCCGGTACCTTTTTTTTTTTAACGGGGATAAGCCCACCCGGGCACAGGTTACTGACCCACATCAGGGCCTGGGGGGCGAAAATATAATAATAATAATGATAATAATAATAATAATAATAATAATAATAATAATAATAATAACTATTATTATTATAATAATAATTAATAAATATTAATAACAAAATACTAAAAAAAAAAAATATTAAACATAATCATAAATAAATACAAAATCGAAAAAATAAATCAAGAATGAGAAATGATAAACATTATGTACGTTGTATTGTCAAAGTAAGAGAAACAATTGAAATACCTTTGCTCCTTTTCCTGTTTTGTTTAGGTGGTTCACAGGGGACAGAAATGTAAAAAAAGAGGAAATACTGTAATAAGGAGAGTGATGTAAGAAGAAAGTAAGAAGCAAAAGAAAAAGGCTACAACAACTTACCCACAAACTCTTGCTCAGTTCAAAGTTAACAAAGAAAACTCAGTGAGACAGATAAAGGAGGTGGGTGGAGAGATAAGCCAAATACAGTAATGTATATACAGTATTATGTGACACCAAGAGAATTGTCAGGGTCTATACAATACAGCAGAGATGTGATAATTCGCAAAATACAAATTCACGTTCTTAAATTTGTGAGTACCCATAATAAAACAGATTTTTTTTAAATTTTGCAATCAAATATTCACAATTCATGGCCAAGCATCAGGTGCTGCATAGTTTATTAAAAAACAATACAAAAAAAACATAGGAGTCATAGATATAAAGAAAATACATACACTGTTTAATATAAAACTATAAAATAAGAAAAATGAAGAATGGGAAGTGAATTCTGTGGAAAAGATAGGAGGTAGGGCAGTTGGTTGGCTGGACTAAATGTTAATTCCCCTCCCCACAACCCATTTATAATGACAGTATGCAATTTCACTTTAATTTCCATATTATTGGTTCTCTTGGTGCCGGGTTAATAAAACATTATCATAAAATAATAAATTTTCCCTACACCCCAAAAATCCCATGCTTAACCCCAGATGAGTTACTGTATTGTGTGGTATTAAATTCCTGGTGCTTTGTTTACAGAGTATTAACTGTTGACCAGCCAGCCACCCCCAGCCTGTTTCCATGTTGGTGTAATGTTGTAACCCAGAGGATGATTATGAGAAGGGAAGGACCTGTTTATGTAATGTAGAACTACTTTACATACAATATCAATGTGTCACTGTATATTTTATGTACAGTACAGTATCTTGTACAATATTTAGTGTTAAGTAAAGCAGCTTTGGAACAGTTTATGCACATTTCTTGACCTCTGGAATTCAACTAATTATTTCAGTTTAAATCAATTAATCTACAAGTATAATTCACAATTTGATAATTTATGATGTCCTCTGGCACCTAACCAGTGAATTATCCCGACTCCATTGTATCAGTAAATCTTACTAGAGGAATGTGTGAGACACCATCGACAACATAGACAAACTCTATATGAAAAGAGAGAAAAAAGATGCAAGCCTGACTTCTATTATGAACCTAATGGACCTACAGTAGATATTATGTATCATGTACAGGGTATTCGTATGGATGATCCTATTTACTCTCTCAATACACTTGGTAAAACAATTAAAATGATTCAAAATAATGTGAATTTCAATTTTGGAAGTCAAACCCATACTGGTATCTAAAATGCAGAAGCTTGTAGAAAACAACACAGCTTCAATTTCTTTCATTTAGCAATAAAATGATTTTATTCTAGATGTAAGTATGCAGGTGCTGTATATAAACTAAACCCATCAATTATTGCCTTATTACAGTACAGTTTTAAGAGAATTTCCGACTAGAACCTCTGTTAAACCCAAGTTACCACACTTGGATGTGGTTAGTACAGTACAATACAGTACTAGGACCTGAAGATTAACATTTTAACTCATTCCTGCAGCATTCCTCTATATGTATGCTCTTTGCAGTCTCACTTACTTTATTATTTACAACCAAAGAGGATGTCAGTGGTCATCATTACTGTATTACTTTAATAAAACTTTTTTGTATTTTAATGTAATTTTGATTTCCACACTTCATATTAGTTGCACATCAACTGAGTTAATTTCAGAATAATATTACTGTTTAATACAGTAAACTATTTAAATATCAGGCACATAACAAACCATGTTTCCCAAGAAACATAAATTTTCAAAGGATCATAGAGATGAATTATTCAAGTTTATCAGTGAACCAGTTTCTGATAAAATCTCAACATGGGCCTAAATTATTCTCAGCAAATGGACACATTTTGAAAATCTAGCATCTCCTCAGTTCCAAGGATTCTAGATATTCAGGAGATTACTTTAAATCATCATCAACATTTTATGGGCAATTTCCACACTTGCTTCTGCTTGAAGTACTATACAGTATAAGTTGTTGTCACAAAGAATGAATAGGAGTTGCACAATAAAAACTTTTGACAAGATTTACTCAACCTGTGATGTGTCTCTTCCATTCTGGCACTTCCTGCTGCTGAGAAGGTAACCCACGAGACATAGTCGGATCATTGCGCTGAGTTTCAGGAAGGGGATCATTCCAGTTCTGTCCAAGATTGGATGGCTGGGAGTCCATTTCACTCTCTCTTTGAGCCATCTTAATTTCTCTTCGTTCTTTTGCCAGTGCACTTTGCATCATTGCTGCCTGTGCTAATGAGCCATCAGGGTTCTTCATGATCCTTACAGGACTGAGCTCCTCCCTTACCCTACCATAACCCCTCAAGAAGGCAGGTTCTTCTTCCACAAGTTCAATCTCTACATCTTCTTCATCATCATCTTCACCACCCATTACCCCTTGTTCCTCATCAAAGTCTGGCATCTCTGATTTACTGATACAGCTTGCAGACATCATCTGCTTTAGCTCCCACCGTTCAGGTGAAGAGATTCGATTAACCCGCTTGTATGTTGCAAGATCTTCTTCATCAGTGCCTGAAATTCAAAAACCTACAATTTATAAATGCTTTATGAAGTCTCTCAAACTATATAACAAAAACCCAGAGAGATTTGATAAGTCATAGCCAACAGTAATTCATATTCTCATCCACATAGTGAATTTATTCATTCAAGAGGGCATAAGTGGTCAGTATACCGTTTAGTTCACATTATGATTTCATGTTACCGAGTCCATATAGGAAGCACAGGTGATTAAGGAGGTATCCAAGGACTCCTCCCATTTTTATATCAGTTTTTATGTCTAATGCACATTTGGGCTCCAAAAGTATGATTAATAAAAAAATTCTTAAAATGTATCCATCTGTCATCCATGAGTTGAAAACGTGTGATCCTTGAAAGCTGATTAAAGACTCTCTCACTTTTGTCTATTTATCTGTTTATCAACCTATTATCTTAATTTCTCTCAAGCTTTAATGAGGGGTAGGTCAAGGGGTACAAATACCTCACAGGAAAGGGGAAATTGTAGGGGGAGGGTGGCACAAGACAGGAACAGAGGATAACAGGAAGGGGTTATCTATTCTCAACTTGCATCCCCTCTGAAAAATTTTATATTCTACATTATATCAGAATCCAATCAGTGTCTGTTAGTGTTAGGTTTTTGTCTGAGAACAATGGAAAATGAGGAGGAAAAATACATTGAACTTGATGACCTTTGGTATTTGTTTAGATCAACAGTGAGTCACAAAAAGTTAGGGTATGTCATCTTTAAAGTTGTCCATTATATATATATATCAATACTGAAAATCCTCTAATATATAAAACATCAATGGAAAATTGACAAACTAATGACCCCATTTTATAATGAGGTCAGGACTGAGCATCTCTCTATAGCCAGCAAATGTAGGGGTTAAGACTCTAGGCCCCACCTTGTGATTGGGATCTACAAATCAAATTGATTCAAAATAACATTACCATTATTGAACCTTCAGATTGGGCTCCTGAGGGATAACCACTTGGTAAGAGAATATCCTAAAAAAGCAAGAAGGCTGAATTGTTCACCTACTGATCATAATGTAGACACTGATCTGCTTGCTATATAGTATTGTACTACTCCAATGAAAACTAATTTTAAGTAAAATCATATTGGAAATGTACTGAAGAAAACAATTTATTGTGACGCAGTGGGATCAATGATGCCCTGAATACTACAATGGTAATAGGCTTTGGAGAGAAAAAATACTGTGGTGTAGACTGTAGAGGGGTACAGTATAGGAAATAGGATGAATCGCCACTTAATTGATGTAATTGCTCCCACTGAACAACCTAGTTCCAGACAACCGGCTTTCAAATCCTCTGAAAGATTTCAATAAGTTCAATAACAAACATTAAACCCAAAAAGCACATTTTACAAAGAGACTTAAAAACACTTGAGGTGGGATAACCAGTGTAAACATCAGATATGGAACTTCTTGAAGTCCCACACCAAAGCAACTAATTCCTAGGAACCAAAATATCCTCTTAAGAACCTCGGCTAGACAATGCACGTATGATACAATTATTTTAACACAAAATAAATAATCTCGGCATTAGGAAGTATTTACCCATAGAGTATAAAGCTAACTCTAGGGAAAGTGGAAGCAGTGGTTACCATAATAATGTCAAAGCAGGTGCTGACCAGATCCACACTGTGCAGAGGTGTGATCACATCTGATGGCTTCTTCCTGTCATTCACTCTTTGCTAGCCAATGTCAATAAATGAAGAACATCTGTCCTTAAACTTGGTAGCAAAACTCTTTGGCAGTCATATCTTTCAGGGGACTGTACCTTCTTACCAAGTGATTATCCTTTGGGAGACCGGCATTTAAACTTTTTTTTTCTTCAATTTTTTTTTTTTTACCCTAATAACACAAGTCAAGGACCCTGTGACCCGGGCTCTAGACCCCAGTCTTTCTGATCATGTATATGCAGTTACTGAAACCCAATATCAGGTAATAAAAATCTTATGAAATTTAATTACAGAAAAAGGTCAAGGATCATTAACATTTATATGAATATACGTACAGTATACACTAAACCTTTCACTCTTGCAAGGCCTTTTCCACTATAGCAGAGGGTAGTTGAAATCAGAGCAACACAAACTCACTCTCTCTCACTAACTCTCATCTCTTTTCTAGCTACATATACAGTACCTGTTTAGTTTGTGAAGAACCACAACCACAAACCAAGTCTTGCCTCACTTAGCAAACAGAAAATGAGTTTTTCTTGTATTAGGCCTCACCTTTAGTGAGCTCCATGAGGGACATGGGTCTATCAGGGTTCCTCATTGCATCCTCCTCCTGGCTGCTGTTACCCAAAGGAGCCACATTGGGGTTAAGGTCCTCACCAGTCTCCTGGTCGACATCCTTCATTGACAATGATGTCTTCTGACCAGTAAATGATAACACCTTCACCTGTATAAACAAAACACAGTACCCATAATACATAAGGTACAGCTTAAAGGTCATCTGCAATGACCAGTTATTTTGATAATTCAAATAATAAAATACAGTATAATTCCTGTGTATACAGTGTGTATAAAAATTCTGTATCTTGAGAAAAAATATAAACTTTTATTAAAATAAATGAACTAAACTACAAACAATTAACAAGTATACAATTATATACTGTATTTTTCATCCACGTTTCTTTGAAAGCTTCTCAACAGTGACAGATTCTGGCTCAATTTGAAATATACATTACATACAGTAGATATTAACAGAAATAAAATATTATACAAACACAGACTTCTGGTACACACCAAACATTATATATAGGCAAAGAGCTCATACAAACCTTCACTTTTTGACCTCGCATAACGACATCAGACACGTTGGTAACACGACCCTCCCGTCGCAGTTGTGAGATATGCACAAGGCCTTCCAGCCTACGCCTTAACCCTTCTAGCTGCACAAAACAGCCAAAATTCAAGATGTTTGTCACTTTACCCTCATAAACCTGCAAATTTAGGAGAAAGAGAATATAAAATATACAATTATCCATTATGTCAACAATGATGCTACATACTGTACATATTCAACAGGATCTGGGATACTGTAATGTATTAGCTACAATCCAATATGTATCTGTTTTCTTACCATAATTTATGACAGCCCAGGCAGATGTTCTTCCTTATACCAGACACACTTACACATTCCTGCAGTCATGTCATAAGAAAGTTCATAAGATCATGATTCTACATAATAATAAAAGATAATTTAAATAAATGATTCTTTAAAGGACTTGATAAAAATAGCAATAAATACTGAGTGAATACCATACACTCAATGACCAGAAAGTTTATGCCAGATGACAACATACTCCACAACACTGCGGGAGTATATACCGTGCAATTGACTGAGAGGTGAAGTCCACTTACCTTACCCACAACAGGATTCTCATCTGGAGGACGATTGATAAACACATCCCTGTTCCCCATACGATTCCTGTTTAAGTCCTTCTCACGACTCTTGCTTCTGCTATGTCTACTGTGTTTGTCTCTGCCACGAGACCTACTTCTGTCTCGTCTGTCACGATCCTTCCTGTCATGGTATCTATCTCTGTCTCTCTCATGACCATTTACTCTTCTGTCCTTGTCTCTACTATGACTACGATTTCTTCTATCTCTGTCCCTGCTGTGACTCCGACGTCTTTTCTCTCTATCTCTACTGTGACTACGATCTCTTCGATTTTTGTGTCTCTCTTGACTTCTGGATCTCTTTCGTTCTCTGTCCCACCTTTCTCTACTGTTACTACGACTTCTCCTCCTTTCTTTGGACCTAGACTTTCTTTTCCGTTCTCTGCTCCTACTCCTACTTCGGGATATTTCATTCTGCTTGGAAGGAGCATGAGACTCTAGAAAGGCCATGAGATCATCAACCTCAGCTTCTGGTTCCTTTTTAATACCTTTATCATACTTTTCTCTGTCTCTGTCATGATCTTTGTTCCTTTTTTTCTTTTTCTCTTTCTTTTTCTCCTTTTCCTCCTTAACTCTGGTTTTACATACTTTAGAAATCTCTTCTTTTACTTTCAATTCTGGTTTGATTTCATCATCAAACATATGGATGACCTTGGGATCATTTGGTAGTGCTAAGAAAGGTAATAATGCTCGCTTTCTCTCTTTATCTGTTTTGGGTTTGTTTGCCTCCTCCTTGATCTTCTCACTAGCAGGAACAGCTGTCAGAGAAGGCATCATGTGTTGGATCAGTCTCCACAGACTTTCAACAAATGAATCCTGAAAAATAAGCAATAATTAATAACATAGATGAAATATATCCTCTTAGTTTCAGCTAAATAAATTAGAATAGCTAGCACATAATTTTCAGGGAAGTGAAAAAAGCTTCAGGTTACCAAATTTCATCTAGTGCCTGCCTGAGGGGCAACTGGAAATTTTAATATTTTGTGATGTCTGGTGAGGCAAGTGTAAAAAATAACAACAAAGGAATAAGACAGCATCTAGACATATCCATGCAGATTTTCCCAAACCTGCATATGCAGTATATCAGTGGTTCTCAAACACAGGGTTGCAGAGAGCTGGGCTCTCATATAGCTCATGGGGTCGCAAGAGTCACCTGGGGCTTGCAGCAGTCACATGTGATTTTTATTTTAATCCAAGTGTCAAGGACTGAAGGATGTGGCTGACAAGTACTGTCTCGTTAAGTTGGGACCATAAATTATGGTCACGAGATTAATGCAGTTACTCTCCTTGTGTCACGTCAGGTCAGTCCAGGTCAGGCTTGCCTTGATGACACATTTTGCGACAGAAGTTCCACACTCCTACCTTTGAACTGTTCTCAGCTCAATTCACTCTCTACTTCCAATGGGTGCAGATAGAAAATATAAATGATAGATTCCCTGAGTTGCTTACTGAGTCTTTTAATTTTGTTCAGTTTCCGTTCAAGACAGATGTAAATTACTGTGGCTCTTTTGCACTCAAAATACAGTATTAGTATCACAGGCTCACAACAAGGCAAGGGTGAATTTTGACATCTATGATGACATAGCAAATTCAATGGTTAAAAATCAAGCTACCAAGGCTCTAGTACAATTTGGAACTGCCTATGATTGTGAGGCAACTCTCTCATTAATGGTGTTAATAAAAAATGATTACTGTAACGGTATTTCAAACTTCAACTAAGAAAATTGTATGCTATATTGCTTAACCTCCAGGTATAAAGAATTAATCAAATGATGACGTATATATGTCATACTGTATATGAAATATGAGTACGGGTATGACAGTTTTATCATATGACATGTTGTAACTTAGAAAATTGTACAGTATGTTATGTTGTTTAATACACATTATACCCCCAGGTGTAGAACATTAAATGATGTTATAAACATGTCACATATTAAACATGAAAGAGCTGTAACCTGTTTACTTTTAGACTCCTCAAATATGTACAGTACTTGTAAATCATTTTCCTTACTTGTTTTTACAGTTAAATGTGTAAAAAAAATTTATCTGCATTTATTCTAAGAATCCTCATATACAGTATGTAATGACTTGGGGTCACACTGGATAGGTGACAGCAGTAGATAGGGTTGCCCTGGAAAATGCTTGGAAACCCCTGCTTTATATAGTGTGATTCTTCAGCATTCACAATGCTTCACATCCTTTTACTGTACTGTAGCTACATAATATGAAGTTGATGATTCTGATGATCACCGTTTATTTTATCTTATAGGTCCCATCTATAATAGTTGTGAAAAAAGGTTTTTAAAGATGGTAATCCAAATATTAAAAAAGTTAAAACCTTACTAAGATAGTATACATGTCTAATGAGATTCCATTTTCAGTGACATAAAGAATCCCTGTACTTTATAGAAAAAGTGTTAAACAATTGTTAAAACTAAAGATAAATCATAGATATAATGCATTGCAAAAATTCTTTTCTTTTACTTTACCGCAAACTGATCTCCTCCATTGTCTTCAAGCTCCTTCTTGAACTTATCCAGGCGCTTACTCTTCTCAGCAAGGGAAATGATGAATTCCGCTGCAAAATTTAATTGTATTAATTAAAATCCCCATCAACGAAGTATTTCTGTGGCGAGCTATAAATAAATAAGAGGCCTGGGGAACAGAGGGCACCAACACATCCTCAATTCACTATTCTATTCTCTTTCCTTTAAACTCTAAAGCTAACAAAATACATTACCATACAGATACATAATACTGTACCACATAGTAGAACCACAGTACGTGTACTGTATCTACTGGTGTGTGAGATGCACCACGATTTATGAAAGAAATACCGTACTGTCTGTTATTTTTTTTAGAATACTGTACATTACAATACTGTACTGTACTTTGATACTTTGTGTTCCCATGACTAACCTAAAATACTAGTTACATGTGTATCTCACTAATGCTGAGATATAAGACAAATATGTTCAACGAATGTAGGAAAAAAGTCACAGTTTAGTTAGGGTTTCTTTTTTTTCTTTTTTAACATAACCTAACAGCCCAACCAAACTAAACCTAACCAAACTAAACCAAACTAAACCTAACCCAACTAAAACTAACCCAACTAAATCTAACCAAACTAATTCTAACCTAACCTAATCCAACCCAATGTGGTAAAATTATCATTTCAGTTATGCACCCATTCTCCAAAGGTTAGAATCTGAAAAACATACTTTCAACGTAACGTAACCTAACCTAACGTAACCTAACCTAACGTAACGTAACCTAACCTAACGTAAACCTAAATTTATTGCATGACCAAAAAGATAATAATACCCCCAACCTAACTTAACCCAACTGCTTACTGTCTTGTTCGTCCAGTTTTCGTCATACAGTAGGTAATTAAGGTAAATTTATAGTAGTGTACCGTTCTTTCTTTGGGTATTAGAAATATTTGTAAAACACCATAGAAAATCGCCAAAAAACAACCAAACCTAATCAGGTGGGGTCCAGGGGGGGCCTGATTAGGTTAGGTTAGATAGAACGGTGCACTAATATAAAGACAGTAAATAAGGCAAATAAATGGTCTTGACTATTACCTAAATATTATTATTGTTAATATTAATGTCAACTTAGGCATTCGAGATTTCATCCCCGTTAAATATACAATATTACCAAATTTTTTAAGTTTCCCACGAAAACGTTCAAAACATGGACAAAATTAACCTGAGTGTCCTAATACTAACCCACGTCCTTGTCATTTAATCCTAAATGATTTTCTAACTCAACACAGATCTTAGAGACCAGTGAGAGTCTCTCTAGTTTTGATAAGTCTTCCATTATGAGCCACAACACTGACACAACACAAACATGGACGACACTGGTTCACATACACCAACACACCCGCTAATAATTTATTTTATTTTTTGTAGAAATAAAATACATGAGTCGATTCTATCTTATAAATAACACTGCACTTTCAGAGTAACTTAGGTTTGTCTTGTTCATGTTGATTGAAAATAAAAAGGGTTTTAGTTCTGTGTTGAATATTTACTTGCCCTAATTTACGATCCAAACATGAGAATTTTTCCAAAATATTTAAGTAATATCATCAGCACAAACATTAGTATAAAAGAATTTTGTAAATAATAATGTCTTTTATAAACTGAATATTTTACTCGATAACGACGGATGCTTAAAAGTATTGGCAACTCTCTGGCCCATACAGCTGATTGTGTAAGCACTGATCAGCTGATGACTGTGTAAAGAGACAAGAGGAAGGTCTAGATAGTTTAAATAACCTTATTCAGTATACACACTCAGTGGTAGCGGATCACCATCAATTCATCTGTAATCAAATCTATAGTTTCAGGAACCTCAAGACCTCTACTGTGTTGTAGTTACATCTTCTGTAATTTGATAACGAGACCTTCAATCACCCTCTTACTATTTAAGAGATGATGCTGAATAAGCAATTAATGAAGGCGGTGCTAGGTCACACTTGCAATGGCCGGGTTATAGTGGGTAATTCTAGGCCCCACATAAGACTCAGCAGGTGCCTCAACACCACCAACCAGGACAGCTCAACCAGCGCCCAGGTATGGTTTGATTTTTTCTTTTAGAAATTCGGACATTGCAATTTCACTCCCAATTGGATTTGAGAAATTTTGTGTTTGCTAGAAGTTTTATTTCGTCAAGTGCAACAATTTTTCTAATATCACTTCCGTCGCAAATGGATAATAACCGAGATGGTAAATTCATGGACCTTCACAGCAACCACAGAATTCCGGAAATTCACTGCACTCAATCGATAACCCCGGCTAGGGCAACCAGGGGCGGAGTCCCCGGCTATGGGGTTAGGTAAGGTTTAGTTTGGTTATATTGTTAAGTTAGCAAGCACAGAGTACTGGGAATTCAGAACACGGTTGTTGTAATCTGCAATTTTACCAGTTGACGTAGGAAATTTACATAAAATATCGCACAGGCATCTATTGGTTTTTCCAAGAGTTAAAATGTTACCATCAAAGACACCTGGTGGGCCTAAAAGGTCCCTCATTTACAGAGCCTTGTAGCTTCTATTCCATTGTCTTCAACCAACCAGCTATCAATAGGTTAGGCTTTGCTTAGGTTTTGGTTGGGTTAGGTTAGATGAGCTTCCTATTAACTTCGGTTCCCCCCCACCCAAAGACATCTAATTCCCACAGGTCCCTCAAGATTGTTGGAGGGAAGGGGGGTTATAACTAAAAAATTACTTATTTCCAACAGAAATGAATGTAAAATTCGAATGAATCAAACCAAATACCATGAGAAAAAACTTAGATTTCTGGTCCAAAACCGATTGGTAGTGAAAGGGCAATTTTACCCAAATTTGTATGAAATATAAACTTTCACCAAGTATAACAGATTAAGTAATAAAAACACTTATTTCCAATGTCTGAAGCAAAGTCATGATAGATGAGGGAAAGTAGGCCAGTCCTTTGTTAAATTACAATATAGAGTTTGAGAATTATTAATCCACTGTGGTACAGTAGCCGTATGGTTACTGGTATGGTAGAGACTCACGCATGCACAAGATGTGGTACATGGGGCTTTCTTCGCTTGGGCAAGTGGTTAGGTTAGTTCAGAAAGGCCATCTTAGTAACTATCATTGTATCGTCTGCCCTCGTATGTGCATTAGACTGCCATATCAATAGACATCGACATTTCGCATATGACTGTTAATACAATAAATTTTATGTAATATCTCCGTGAAAAGCACCAATTTGTAATGTTATTGTAAATATACATGATTTTAAACTTTCCCTCATTAGTGACATAATTACCACCGTCAAAATTTTTTTGCTAAAAAAAAAAGCAGTTGAATTAAAGGGGATATAATAAATACTGTAAACAAGCTTTTAATTTTGTCTCCTGACAAACTTTAATAAACATTTATGATAATCAAGTTCATTGTCCCTAGGTGAAGGAGGTGTCAGATAATGAACCTACTCAACAGTCCATTGTCAGGAAGCCTAAACGACCACCATTTATCAAAAACCTCTTTTTGGGCAGGTAGGAATGTTTCTTGGTGGTTGACTGATATTGTGAAAGAATGTAACTTCCATCATATTGACTTACATTATATATTAACATAGGTTGGATGCTTATATGAGCAATAGGGGTTGGGTGTAAACGGGACTGCCCAGTATGGGCCAATAGGCCCGCTGCAGTTTCCTCCATTCTTATGTTCTTATATGTATATATATATGTGTGTGTGTGTGTGTTCTTTATTTTAGATTTGACAAGGAAATGTTGACATACCCAGAAGTGTTAGACAAGGACCGGCATGAGTTGTTGCACGAGATGATCGTTCCTATTGAACGGTTCTTTGAGGAGCAAGGTGAGCTGTTGTGTCACATCTGTACTATTACTTTTCATGAAATAAATAAATATATATATATATATATATATATATATATATATATATATATATATATATATATATATATATATATATATATATATATATATATATATATATATATATATATATATATATACTGTTTTCTTCTTTCCTTGTGGTTATTCTTGTATATGATTTCAGGATCAGTTTTATATTTTTTTATTATTATCAATAGTGGATGGAGAAAAGATTGACAAGGAAGCCAAGATCCCTCCTGAAACATTGCAAGGCCTGAAGGACTTAGGATTGTATGGGCAACAGATTCCAGAAGAATATGGTGGCCTTGGGCTGGGGGCCACAGAGTATGCACGCATTGCTGAGATCACTGCGATAGATGGATCTATTGCTGTCACTCTTGCTGCTCACCAAGCCATTGGATTAAAAGTAGGTACAGTACCACAGTGAAATAAGAATTTATTACTTTGGTCTCTTGTGTTGTATTCAATTTTTGTCAGTTCCTACATTATTATCAAGATGCTGCATGCCGAGTTTTCCAAATGCAGTACATATTCCTTTATATTCTGTATTATGAAAGTAAGATTTCACAATACCGGAATCTGAAATACCCGAACTAGGTGTTACTTATTTTTAATGCTATTTATTTTACCATTAGGCCTATGGGATCCACTTTCACTATGAATACAGGTGAAAGTTGTAATAAGGCATTCGTTCTAGAGACAATAATTTCCTTAACATCTTTTATATATACAGTGGTCCCTCAGTTAACGAACTGTTCAATTAACGAAATTTCGGTTAACGAATTAGCTCCCATAAGGATTTTCAGTTCGATTAACAAACAAAACTTTGATTAACGAAATCCTTACGACAAACACGTTTTGATGTGCGCATCAGCTGATCGGCTAGTCTGCCAATACAGTAATTGGTTCTATGTTTACATTCGTTTCCAGTGAAGTAAATATCAAGAAAGTTGGTCTCTTGAATATTTCTGCATTTTTTATATTAAGATTATTGGTCATTCTGAAATTTAGTTAACATATTGATAATATACAGTGCAGAAATTATTATGAAACATGAAGAAGGCATTAGAACCAATGCACTCTATAAAGAATATGGCATGTCATCATCGACTGCCTCTACAATCAGCTGTTTGATATGTAAACAAAGCTGCCGGTAATACGACATACACACCTCAAAGTAAGTTAAACTACAGTATTCTATTGTTTTTTATTTATTATTGTACAGTATACTGTACAGTACAGTACTGTATTTAGTTTATATTTAATGTTTTGTTAATTCTATTATTGGTATACAGTACTTTGTACTGTATGTACTTTTTCTGTGAGTTGGAACCAATTACCCCATATCCCATTGAAATAATAGATTCAGTTAAAAATTTTTCGGTTAACGAATGACTCTGTGGAACGAATTGTGTTCGTTAACCGAGGGACCACTGTGTATATATATATATATATATATATATATATATATATATATATATATATATATATATATATATATATATATATATATATATATATATATATATATATATATATATATATATATATATGTGTGTAGACACACACATATATAATACAGGTAAAATAAATAATTGTCCTAAGGGCAAACACATAAAGGGAATATAGTTTACATGTTCTTAAAGCAAATGTTATTCGCGGGTTTGGCTATTTGCGGCTATTTTGAGAACCCAACCCCGTGAAATTGAAGGGCATGCTGTACTTGTATAAACAAACATTATTGAGAGAATATCCAGTACAAAGGCTGAATAGAAAGATCAAAACTAAGCTTTGTATTTAGCACTGGTGAATTTAGTTTAGTCCCTTCAAATTTCTGAAATTGTTTGTAACTTAAAGTAGATGTAAGATCAGATGATAAACTACTGTATCTTAGTTTTGATAATCCAGTAATATAAAAATTAATTGAATTTATTTGCCTGTTTGATCTCTTAACTTTCTATATTTTATCCTTTTTTTAGGGTATCTTGATTGCTGGGACAAATGAACAAAAAGAGAAGTACTTACCTCAGCTGGCATGTGGTGAGTGGACAGCAGCATTCTGCCTAACAGAGCCTAGCAGCGGGTCTGACGCTGCTTCCATTCAGACCCGTGCTACACTTTCAGAGGATGGTACAACGTGGTTGCTGAATGGAAGCAAAATCTGGATATCCAATGGTGGATATGCAGACTTGATGACAGTTTTTGCTAAAACTCCAGTAAGTATTTCATCCAGTACAGTTTATTGTGTGCCCGTGTTTTAAAAGTTCATTACCCAAAAACTAGGTATAGATTGTCAAGACACTGTATTACTAATTTTTGTATGTAAAAAAAATGTGAGTGCTTAAATTATATTGGTCACATAAAGACTGAACAGAAAAAAAAATTGAGTTACTGATACCCTGTATAATCTAATCAACAGTTCTCTTAAATTTTGACTTGATTTGTCTTACATAGGAAAAAAAAGTGGTTCTCATTATTAGGACTGCATTTTAACTGTTGTGTAGTGGTTGTCCAACATCTGAGGTGTACATTAGGACTAATAAGAATCACTAGTCCAAAGTATATGCAGGAAGGAAAAAATAATAAAATGGCAGTTGTGTAAGAACAAAATATTTTCAAGTATGTACAGTATTATATGGTTAGCTTTCATAATCATCTGGCACAAGGCTGATACAAGTTGTTTTTATTAAGAATTAAATTGAAGATGATAGAGATTACTAAAGTTAATTGTAGGAGGGGGAAAACTGTACATGTAGAAGATGGATTGAGTCAATAAGTGAGTTTTAAGATGTAAAGGCATGTCTCACCAAAGGAATGATAAAAGACCATAGGTATCAGTAAAGTCTTGTGCATGAAAGAGGTATAGTTTTAATCTACATTTTTTTACTACATTAGTTGATGCACCTTTTCCATCCTATATAAGTAGAAATTAAAGTAGGTTAATAGATTGATGAATTAAAGTACTGTATTGAATAATTTCACCCCTATTTAGTGAAATTTTACTGAGTTTACACATGATCAAAAAGTATCTGTGCATATTGGGTCCAACGATTTCCTTAATGATCAATACACTTATGCCGTAATGTAACATGAACTACGCTACATATTGTTCGCAAGATTAATCTATTTTCTTATGAATGTGCATATACAGTACTGCAATAACAACACAGTACAGTACTTAATATTGGATAAAATAGGGAAAATCACAAGCAAGCAATATATGGCATTTTGCAATATACATTGTGGTGTCAAATTGTTTCGTGCAAAACGTGTACAAATACTCTGTTGATCATGTATACATACTGAGGGTTATATAGGTGTGCATAGTGGAAAAGTCTATGGTACAAGGAATGTGAAAGGAGACAAATCTTGAGTTTGGGGATGTGATGAACATTGTTGTAGGCAACATGATATTTAAGAAGAGGGTGAGTACCGGGTAGGCTGATTTCATATGAGCCAGGTGGCACAAAAACCCAGATTGACTACTTTCTCATTGGGAAATCAAATAGGAAACTTGTTAGAGATGTAAAGGTTATAAAATGGGAAGAATGTGCCTTGCAGCACAGATTACTTGTGTGTGACACGTTGCTTAATAAGTGTAGAGAAATGAAGGTGATGTATGGTCCAAGGAGGATACTTTGGAAATTGAAGGAACAGAATGTATTTTCTGAGTTATTCTTCTAATTGTTCAGTATTCATTGTAAAATATTATATATGCAGTTCTGTAATATGGATTTATGCTTTTCCTACCTACATTGAAGAGAGGTTCAAGTGAAATCCAACCGATAAAAAAAAATTACAAAATTAATTCACAGGTCGTTAAATTAAAGAAAGCAGAGAAGTGGGCACTGTACTGCACTTGAAGTGGAATGGAATTATGTATTTCTAGAATGATCGAAATTTTGTGGCATCTTGTGTTTACGTGAGCACTTCACAAAACTTTCCCAATCATTTACCCGTTTTATACTACTACAGTATCTGTTTATATCTGATTCACCTTTTCTAACTGCACAAGGGTGGCTCATGCAGGCACTTCTACAGAAACCACAGTTTCCATTATCTCCATAAATTCCTTAGTACAACACTTGCACCTTCTCAACACATGCTCCTCAACTTCGTCCATCCACTGTTTTTAATATTTTGCCACATGCCCTGTAAACAGGTCCATAACTTTGAAAATCACTTTCAAATACCATCACTTCTTAATATTCCAGTTACTTTTCCTCATATAGGAAGTACTACCTAGTGGAGAAGTACGAGAAAAAGTAACAGCATTCATTGTGGAAAGGGGATTTGGGGGTGTGAGCAGCGGCACTCCTGAAGACAAGATGGGTATCAGAGGATCAAACACTTGTGAGGTGAGACTGTTGGTCTTTATAATCAATGTGTTTGTGGCTTCCTTTCAGGTCTTTGAAATATTCAGTTAATGATAAATCAGCACTGTTGTAAATACTCTTACTGGTCTTAACCCTCTCAGTCCAGAATAATGAATTAACTCATCAACTAGAGAATAAGTTAAATAGTGGGAGGTATATGTGATGTGGACAAATCTGTTGAGAGAGCCATAAGTCTAGAGACATGAATGAAAGTGTGCAGAGATAATATGGATATAATGAAATTATGCTGTACTCTTTTTAATGAATTTTAAATTATGAAAATTTAATCTGTAATTGATTCTATGAGTTTGAAATACCAATAATATTATTACTCCTCATCCTCAGGTCTACTTTGACAACACTCCAGTACCTGCAGAAAATGTTCTTGGGGAAGTTGGAGGTGGCTTCAAGGTGGCCATGAACATTCTCAACTCAGGCCGCTTCTCCATGGGCAGCTCTGGTGCAGGTACGTTTACAGTCATGTTTGGTACTGTTCATGATTAATCTTCTTAATATTACTTCTTTGTTTTCATACTTCTGTTGATTCACTTTGTCTTACTTCCTCATTTGAAGTATCTTCTGCTCTTACATGTGCATTGTTTCCGTAATTTTCTTTTTTGTCTAGAAAACACTGTCTTCACGCTCTTGAAATTCTCGAACTACCTTTTACACTAAAAGTTTGTTCAGTAGCCGCACTAGCCCCTTCACCACCTGTTGATTTATGAAAATATGCATAGAGACTTAGCCTTCTCACGAATCAAGATGTTCTCGTTCAGCACATTTTTGTGGTGCTGTCCCACAAATCAAATCTTCAGTGCTTTTTCCTTTTTCACTATGTTCTTATCACAAACACTTTAGCACTTGTAACAACAGTCACAATTCACTTGTTCTTTCTCTTTAATGTACCGCACCGTGGATTCATTCACACCAAACAACCGGCCAACCGTAGTGGCACTCGTTCCTTCCTTTAAATTATCTAATAATTGAACTTTCTTGGTAATGGGCATTACTGACTTGCCTTTTATATTTCACTGCACTAGCATCACTAGCACTAGCCAGTCTTTTATTTTGCACAAAAACACTAAAGTTTTGAGCACAACACAACAGATGCTGCGGCATGGAAAGTGTTTGAGCACAAACAAGGGAGAGGAGACACTGGGCGAGTGGGGGTGACTCGCAGTGCTCCTGCAGAGGCTCGTGAGCTAGCCACCATCTGCTTATCGTGAATAGTCAAAACCGCAAATGGTCAACACGCAAATAACAAGAGTTTACTCTATATACTAAGTACTGTACAGTACATAGATACTTATACTGTACACAGTCATTATGTTATTTCATATATCTCATGCATGCATTTAGTAATTTAAATTTTATACCCATTGCATTGACCAATAGATTACAGTTTAGTAATAATCGGTACATTTGCGTGTTTACTCTTTAATTGCAATAAAAAAATTTATGTGTCTTCCACTGCAGGGATTTTGAAGAAGATAATGGGCTGGGCTCTGGAACATGCTGTTACACGGAAACAGTTTGGGCATCATCTCTCAGAATTTGCTATGATTAAGGAAAAGTTTGCACGCATGAGTGTTGCCATCTATGCTATGGAATCCATGGCATATCTAACAGCTGGAATGATAGATGGTCAAGAAGAAGCTGACTGTTCAGTAGAAGCAGCTATTGTCAAGGTTAGTAATGGAGCTGTTCCTCTAATCCTGTCTTGTGTATATGATAAACACCTTCTGTATCCTTGAACAGAACATATTTACTGTACAGTATCTGTATTGTAAAAGTAGAAACGAATAACTGACATAAACAAAGGGAGGATATGTGTGTGTGTGTGTGTGTGTGTGCGTGCCCTTGATTCCCACCATCCTGTGTAGTAGGTGGTGGGCTAATCCCCGTAAAAAAAAAATCCTACTTTAAGTGGGAAAAGGCTTGAAAGGGTAACAAATCAATATGGTAACAACAAAGTGAGTATTTAGGAAGAGGTGGAGACATGGAGGAGCACTACTGTATCAAGAAAAAATTTAATTTGCCACCCTGCAATATAGAGGCACACGACATGTGATGTATTGATAGATACATGTATGTAAAATTCTTGATTTCTGTATGTTGTTTCTAGTAAAAAAGCTTTTTTATTTATTTTTTTTTCTTCTAGGTGTTCAGCTCTGAGGCTGCATGGCATTGGGGTTCTGAATGTCTGCAAATTCTGGGCGGCCTCGGGTATATGAAGTCTTACCCATTCGAGCGATATCTTCGTGATGCTCGCATTCTCTTAATCTTTGAAGGGACAAATGAAATTCTTCGTCTGTTTATTGCCCTAAGTGGTAAGAGATCCTTTCATATCTGTATTATACCCATCTTTTGTGTCAATGTATGTAATACGTCATTTATGTCCAATGTATATTTTCAGCCTTCGGGCTGCAGAATTTTTCAGAACTTTTTCAATAAACCGTTAATTATAATTATTATTATTTTATTATTACATGTAATTTTTTGTTTGAGATTGAGTCAAGTAGGACATATGGAGTTAATTGGGAAGTGAAATTAAAAGATATATTGATTGCACATGTAATTATACACAGTACAGCCATCATCATGATTCAAGGATTGCCTTTGAATATCCATAACTAGTACAATAAAGCATCTGTTGACTGAAATTAATCTATTTTACAAAAGATTTGACCATTTGGAGTTTGAAATTGAATAATAGAGAATAATTTTTTTACGGTAAACCCTTATTATTCACAGGGGATTAGGTTCCAAGGAATGGCGCAAATAGGCAAAACTGCGAATAGCAATTATACTACCTTAGTGCACTGCTGTATACCTAATACCTATACCAAACAAACGACCAGCCGCGGCAGCACTTCTCCCCTCTTTTAACTTATCTAATAATTCAACTTTCTTTGTCAGAGTCATCACTGACTTCTGCCTTTTACATTTCACTCCACTAGCACCACTAGTACTGACACTAGGCATTCCTTTAGGGGCCATTTCACACAGAAACACTAAAGTTTTGAGAGTAAAACACAAGATGCTGTGTCACAGGCAATGGTTGAGCGTGAACAGAGGGAGAGGAGATGCTGCAGGCGCGTGTCGTGACTGCGGGAAAAGGCTCGCAAGCTAGCCACCATAGTTACCAGCTGCTTACCGCGAATCGTCAAAATCGCAAATTACAAACCCGCAAATGGCAAGGGTCTACTGTATTAAATTTTCCACATATTGCACGAGATTAAATGAGGAGAAATTGGACAATCAGCCAACTGGCTCAGTGACTGTGTGGTGGTGTGAGTGAAGAATTTATGTCTTACCGTGAGTTTGAGGAGTAAGTTATATGGAGATTATAGAAGAATGCTGACAATAATAGCTTATTTGTAGACTTGATAACAATGAGAATGAAAGAGAATAATGAAGTAAGTTAGTGTACAGGTATTTGCAGAAACTATTATGGTTGATTACATGCTTTCCTTGATGGTATCAACTTTATGCAATTATCCATTTTATAGAGGCCTCTTGGTCCCAGACTCTTCAGTTAACAGAAACTTTATTGGACCTTGGCATACCAAACTCAGATTCATTCTTTCTATTTTTGGATTTCCAACAATTAATATTGTTATCATTATAAATGACATCACCTATGAAAGTAATAAGTGATTAATGCACCATTTTGGTTCTTTACTACTTGCACTCAGAGCTGCTCAGGCTATCATTCTCTGTTGTAAGTTTATTTATCTGACAATATCTCTTACTATGGGTCTAAAAAGAGATACAATAACAAGTGATTGTGAACCAAAACACATTAAATGAAGGCTCAAGTTACTCCTCACTAAGTACAGAATATGGATGTAATAAGTACACTTTGTTCCTTTTCTTCACTTTCTGTACTTCAGATGGAGATTATATTGCTTATAGGACATTCCTATGTACATTTATCCTTCCATTGGGGTAAGTTTAAATGATACAGGAACATCTTCCCTATTCCACCCCTCTGATTGGGGAGAATAAACTCTATATAAACTCAATGCATGGATGCCAGACTTCTCATGTATACCATGGAACATATAAGCCATTTTTTTACAAAGCTTTCTATCAAGGTGCCCTGTGTCAGGCTGCTCATGCCACTGTACTAGCCAATTCTGGAGGTTTAGCCATCATGCCAACACCCCCTTTGACTCTCTTTTGTCTCATCTTTCAGTTGCCCATAACAGGCATCACCTCCAAAATAAGTAGATAAGAGGTAAAGTTTATCCCTTGGAGATAGGAGGCTGTCATCTTTAATTTCAAGACTGCATTTTATACCTATTTATATATTTTTACAGGACTCCAGCATGCAGGAAATGAAATGAAGGGGATGATCCAGAAACTGCGTAACCCTCTGATGAATCCTGGCTTCATTCTTGGCAAGGGCATTGAGAGAATACGCCAACATAAAGATAATCCCAAACTAGATCTGAATTTGTCCGACAGCCTCCACCCATCCCTGAAAGCAGCGGGCGATATTCTCGAGTACTGTGTTAAGCGCTTCCAATATAGTGTAGAGACAGTACTGGCTAGACATGGTAAGATAAATGAATGATTGATAATTGTGTTAATCTCTAGTTTAGATGTTACAAACACTAGCACCTTAGTGTTAAGTTTCTTTTAGCTGACATTAGTGAAAGTTATATGAATTACTCAAGAATGTTGCTATAATTACATTTCTGATAAACATCCTATAATATTAACAGTTGATTCAATGGTGGACGGGGTAGTAAGTTTGAAAACACCAATGTTACTGACATTTTGCTTTACAGTTTGTTATAGTATTGTTAGTTTAATGTGTTCTTTTATAATAACTGTTTAACTTTCATAATATCATTGATTAATAGAATAAAAACATGAAATGGAACGAAAATGCTTGTTACAGTGTGTTATTCTGCATTGCTAAACAATAGAAAGCGTAGCTGTGTAGGATGGTGAAGAGGGAAATTATGAAATTAGGGGTGTGAATCACTTAACAGATTTTAATGATAAAACCTTTTTATATCAAAACTTTTCCAACCATAAGAAATGTAAAAACTTGTAAAAGTGTTTGGAAGACAAATAATATAGGGTGAAACACAGTCCAGGTGTGATAAATGTGCAGGCTGAACAAAGACTGAGGCACGTGGGGTTACCAATGTGTGATTATCCTGTCATTACCAGATCCCTCAAGATTGATTACCAAATTGAGTGTTTCACTTCAAAATTTTTATGAAGGAAAACAGCAATTAGCTTACCTTTATATAACTGAAGTGTAGATAAAGTTGTTCTACAGGGCAGTAAAATTATCACTGTCCTCCAAGTTCACCAAATTGCCACCATGAGCAGCATCTAGAAGCATCCACCAGCATCCTGCCTTGTGTGATGCTACGCTGAGGCAGCTGCACAACCGCTTATTCTTACATTCTCAACATAGTTATGTTTGCTCAATCACATTATACCCAATTTGCATCTGCACTGCGAAAAAATTTTTCCTTAATACATTGGCTGTATTATAACCAATTCACATAATGAAAACATGTGTTATAGACCAGACTGTACCCCCTGTAAACAGTATATTGATTTATAATGGAGGCATCCCTTGCTATCTGAATGGGTAATGTTCCTTAAAAACCATTCAGATATCAAATTTTGGATAGTACAATACGTACTGTATAAATGGGAAAAATAGAGTTCAGTTCCCAATGACAAGAAAATCCCAATATTAAAATGAAATAAAAAAGTTTCACATACTGCAACAAAAACACACAGTATTACACTCAAAAAATTAAATCTGTAAAAAAAAATAAATAAAATAAAAAACATAATTATATTACTTGTGCCTTACAAATTGGTAAACTAATTTAGATACTGAGGGTGTTGAGGGAACACCATGAATGTTACTTTCGGATAGTGAGAAAGCGGTGAAGAATAGAATTTTTGGATAAGCAAATTTTCGTATACTGTAGTGAACTTTCTTATAGCAACGTGGATAAACTAGATGAATGAATGTCATGAGGCCTTCTTGTGGAAGAGGATGAAATAAGATTTCTTGTGTGATAAGACATCTACTAAATATTTAAGACAACAAATGAGCATGATTATGTGTTACCCATGTTTTCAACCACCCAGTGCAGTCCTGGGAAAAAGGCTTGTAAGAGTAAAAAAAAAAAAAAAAAAAAAATTGATTGCCTTTTTATTTAGTTTGAAGGTAATATAGTAGTCATTAAGTGATACTAGTGTTAAAAGAAAGAATGAACAGATGGATTATCAGTGATGGACTTATGTAGGAGCATGAAATGAGAGGTCATTGAATGATTTCCTGTCTATAATGAAGATGATGTTATTGCTGAAATAAGTACAATTGTGGACGAGTCAAATTTCATGCTCATTATTTGTTGTTTAATATTCATTGAACCCTGCATAACTCTGGCTGGTAATATGGAGGACTTGTTTTAGGATATGGAACCACTCAATGAATACCCTGTATTATGAACTGCCCCAGTAAAAAATAATTATCAATAATAATAATAATCATACCTTTATCATTATAACCATTTTCCTTTGTTTTCACCAATTAGGTCGAGAAGTAGCAGACCCCAAGAATCAGCTGGAGTTAGCTCGTCTTGCCAATTGTGCAATGGACATTTTTGCCATGACTGCTGTGCTGTCACGTGCATCTCGTGCATATTGCATAGGAGTAAGAAATTCTTCTCATGAAGTTAGTATTGTGAACAAATTATCCTGTTTTACTGGTGTAGGGGACTTTGGTTCGGTTCAGATTAAAATTTCATGAGGAAAACCACCTTCTGTCTGCAATGTTTGCTCAAGTTTTATGGTTTATTGAGCCACATGAGTTATGTGATACATAACCACTACAAAGCCTGCCAGTGCCCTGGAGGCATGCAGTGCAGTCTTTTCACCAGGATGTATCCTGATTTATTAGTTGTCTCAGGTATCAGTAGAGGATTAAGGAGAGGTGTCTTTTACTCACAAGCTTACTAACTTCAAACCCCCAAGTTAATCACATGGAAATGGTGACCCAAGTTAGAGTCTTATTCATAGTCAGACTATCACCACCTGCTTAGTCATGCCCTATGGACAGACAAAGAAATACTTAACTAACACTCTTTTGATCTTTGATATTAAATAGTCCTAGCTTATACCACACTGGTTTTAGTTATATTAATTAAACAAGGTGAATGTTTTATATTGAGCAACAAGTTTCTGGTTTATACCAGTGTCCACCATTTTATAAGTTTAAATTACACCTTTCTATACATATAAACATAGTGAATTACAGTACTCACACAAGCCATTTAAAGTGGACTAGAAATAATTTCATTGATTAAGTTTTTTGGTTCCTCCAATATGAATTAAGAAAATTTAGATCAGGCACTGCTGCCTCCCTCTTACAATATGAAATATATGATGATAATAATTTGAGTATTCTTTACGAGACTAACAGAAAATTTATCTTCCTCTTCTGGAGTTCTCCACAACTTCATGCCCTTTAAAACTGTCCTATCTACACTCACTTGGAAAATTTTGCTTGTGTGTACTGTTGTGCTCCTTACTATTATTTAACCTATTCAATTGCGGGTGTGCCGTATATGGAACAGAAACCTATTGTGTGTCAAAGGTGATGCACTGAGGGTACACTTGAAATTCAGAACAGCCACATTTAATGGATTAACTGTTACGACAAAATGCAGTCCAAAGCTATTCACCTCACCAACAACCAGTCCCTCACTTCCTCCACTACATATTAAACAATCCACCTCTTCACCATTTCGTTTGCTGATATTTTCATTGTAATTTTTCCACAAAAATATAATCCATCATCTGCCCCTTTTGTCCCCAGTTGCAATTTATCATTCCCCCATTGTTTGGGTTTCAATATCAATTCCTCATTTTTATGCATATATTGTATACTTTTGTTTTATTAAACAGTTTTATTTGTACTTGTAACAGGTGCAGCTTGCCATGACATTTTGTGATGAAGCTTCTGCTCGTATCAAGACCATGGTGAAGGACATTGAGAATGGTCCCTTCATAAGTAATGACAGTACCTATGCAAAAATTGCTGACACTGTCATTGAACATGGAGGATATGCAGCAGAACACCCCCTAACACGGGTCTTCTGGTAATTTGTGATTATTGGTGTATTTTTCAATAGTCTTGGCATAAGAAAGTTTTCTTGGTACTGTACTGTATTAGTTCAATGACTGACTCAGGAGTTATCTTATATTCATTATTTTAGAAATGTTCATTATACAGTACTGTGCTTGCAGATTTATGAAAATATGAGAGGCTTAATTCATTCTGGGACTGAACAGTGATTGTATGTACATAAAGACACAACTTTTATATAACCAGATTATTTTCGTACAGCATGATTGTTCTTATCAACATTATTCAAAAAGCACTAGTTATTGTTCTTGAATGCAGAATTAAGGTTCCCAATTTCTTTTGTAAACTGTACATCATACAACATTATATAACTTTGTTAAAAGACTTGTTTTAGAATTAAAGTCTCGTATATTTTAGTACTGTACCAAGTTATGCATAAAATGGTATTGGAAAGATGTGTACTTTGGAAAATGTTCAAAAACTCGTTGAGTATAATGTGTAAGAAACAAACCATGTTTTGATTTATAAAAGACTGTGAACCTTTATGACCCTGTATCACTTTGAATCTAGATACCAGCTATCTTGTGTGTATCATTTGATATGGTTTCATTATAAGTTAGTGTGCAGTGTAACCATATTATTTTGTAGTATTCTAGGTGACAAGTAAGTCTGGCAGCAACTAGTTTGCAATTTACCCTAACTGTTTTATCTTGGGGGGGGGGGGGCTCCTGCTTTCCTTACCATAAAATACAGAAATTTTTATTAGTTTACTGTTATCACCCAAGAAAGCATTATTATCCATAGGTAATTGTAAATTTTAATGTTTTTAAATATTTTCCATAATAGAATGTGTTATCATTCTTCACTTTTTCTTTCCTTTGGTGTTTTGATTGTTGCCACACATGAGTTTGCTAATACAGGTGGCTGGCTCCAATTTTCAAACCCACATAATCCTTTTTTGAGCTTTTTTTTTTTTTGTAATACAGCTCCTCCCCGACTTACGACGGGGTTAGGGACCCAAATCCAGGTCGTAAGTCGAAAATGCTTAAATAATACATAGAAAATCTAAAATGGGTGTCTCTTTTTCTTCTCAGCACCACAAAACTCTCACTTTTAAGCTTGCTAGCCATTTTAAAGTGAATTACAAACGAAAATTTTGTCAGTACACAGCGCAATCACCGACGTTGGGACTCGAAAATACGTAATTTGACAAAATTCTGGTACGACTGAGGCGGTCGTATGTCGAGTAGGTCGTAAGTCAGGGAGGAGCTGTATATGTAAGCCTTTGCCAGACAGGTGCTCATGCCCTGATCCATGGGTGCTAAGCAAGTAGTAGGTTACAACCCCCACCCCTTTGATAGGATAATAGTCCATAGGAAAATTAGCACGATTTGCAAGAGTAACTGAGGGTGCACTAAGTTTCGATGCTGTGTCTATTCACAAACAAAAAAGTATCTTTATGAATGGGTCTGCTAGATTCCAAAATGAAAATGGCAATTCCTGTTCCCTTGGTAGGGTTATCAAAATCCTTGATCTGCTGTGTCATATTGTCAAAACACTCTTTTGACTCTGTGTAAAGGACTAGTATTTAGGGAGGGAACCCAATCCTCCACTTCTGGCCAGAATCAAACCTATGACCATTTATGTATGAGGTAAATGACCTGCCACCATAATATTCGTAGTTTTTCATATACATATTTTTTTTTTTTACCAAGAACACAACTCAAATACCTTTATAGACTAGTTAAAACATTAGTGACTCAAAAAGAGTCTTGTACTGTTGAGTCTTGTACAGTACATCAGTAAACATAACAGCAATTTAAATTCCCTTGTACTCAGGTAAACCCAAGTACAGTAGCAGGTAAAGCTCCCATATATAGTAATTAAAATGGAACAGTAATTCAACATACCCTAATATGGCAGATAAAAAAAGTAACAACTTAAATAACCTTACAAAAGCAATAAAACTGCATTCACCCTCAAGTGAATGGTCATGGATTCATTTTCAGACTAGAGGGGAGGATTGGGTTCCCTCCCTGTATACTCAACAATAAATGGTGGTACAGTACAGCCCTTGTGTGGACTAGCATCCAACCAAAGGGTGCAGGGTAATCCACAAACCGTACAACCACCTGGCATTGAAGTAGGAAATGGCTTACAAGCTTAAAGAAGAAAATCAGGAAGCCATACAGAAAGTGGTAAAAAAACCACTGTCGAAGAGAGAAAATTTCTTTTAAATGAAGAATTTTCATACAGCAGCTACGTAAGAATTAGTTATCACATCCCAGAGTTTCATAGTTATTCCCTCATGCCTCCTTGTGACAGAATTTAACTAGAACTCATTTAAACACAAAGATATCATAAGATATGAAATAACATTCAACGAATCTTTTAAGTCATCCTCCACTTAAGCAGGATGGCCATTACAGGTACCAAAATTTAATAACTATATTGTCACCTATGTAGCACAGATTGATCATCCACTGATTTGAATTTGATCTCTATATCTGAAGTTGACAACTACCTGCATCATACTAAAATACCTTAATACTGTATCCTGTACTGAACTTTAAAACAACTAACTCTTGCTGGAATTTATCATAGCAATATTGAACACTCCATTATCTCGGACTGAAAAAAAGATTCAGTCAATGCTATAACTATCACACCTTACTGAATACAGTCGGCCCTCAATTTACCCCTTCCCCCTTTTTAACTGGTTTCACTTGTGCACAGTCCGGTAACTGGGACACTTGATTTTTTTTTTTATTTTTTTTTATTTTTAAACAGTTGGAATTCACTCGCACAGAGTTGAGCATGGGTGCCACCACAGGTGAACAAGCAGTGAAGCATATGTATTAAACTTCTGTTATGAAGTATAAGCAGTCCCTGATTTACTCAGATCCGGTTTACAAAAACCCCGAGATAAAAAAAAGCGAGTTTTTTATTTACGTACTAAAAACCCAAAGTTATGAAAAAATTAATACACTGTATACTGTACTTGCATGACCCACATGCAAATTTTGTGGGCTGTCTCATCACCCAAGTACCCCCACCTTACATCCTGCCTTATGCCTACTTATCATTTTATTGTTATCATCATCATTAAAGGCTAGTTATAAATTTAAATATCTGTAATACAAATTTTTAAATGTATATATTTTTCCATGGATCTTATGATCCTGATACCTAACCCCCTATTTCCATAGGCCCTTAGTATTTTTTTTACCTGTACATAGTTTTAATTTTCGTTGTGTTTTTACAAGAATGTAACCAACGTAAATTGAGGGTCAACTGTACACCTAAATTTCCTAATGTAATAATATAAACATTTATGGTTCAATTTATGTATTCATTATGAATGTAATAAAAATATACAGTAGTAAAGTACAGTACTAGATTCAGCATTATTATTACCCATGTTTGTTGAATGTCTTCTCACTTAACCTGTTGAGTGGTACAAGTTTCTTTTAGCCAAATAAAATCGTCTGGCATTCGTCAGAATAAAATACCGAAGAGATAATACTCCTTAAAGGGATGGGTTTTAAAACCACATTAATAAATATGGAGTAATGATCTGCTGGTGAGCTAGTTTAACATGTATAGTAAGGAATTTAGACAAAAAGACTCAATCAAACTTTAAGTTTCAACCCTAAAATTGGAGTACTGATCTTAAAATCCCATTTTATGTTAAAGCCTGGACCAGGTGACTCCTGTAATATCATAAGCCTCCAGGCTGAAAACCAAGGCAAACCCCAAACATTGATGGCTGGTGGCAATTGGGAGGATATTTGTGGTGACTGGAGGAGGAACTTGCCTTCATAAATGAAGAAGATTCTTTAGTGATTTAGTTGCTTGATGGAGTTTTGACCCTTTCAACCTGAATCCTCTGAATTCTAAGTCTAATGCCAGTTCAAATGAGATCTATATGACCTTAATCCAACAAGACAAGTTATGCTGTTAGCAGCAGAAAGCATTATTTGACATTTTGCCAGGCTAGTGTGTCAGGCCTTTAAGCATATAAAGCGAGCATTGGAAGAGCGATGTATGTGCCAAAACCATGAGCTGAGATAATTGAGATTAAAGTTTGCTTACACCAATTTTAGAATATCAAAATTGTGTGGTTGGTACACGATTTTTATGATGTAAGTTGTCAAAAGATAGGAAGTTTAATTATTTTTTAGAATATGTAAACAAACTGAAGTTGCCAAGGTGATAAGAACATAAGAATGGAGGAAACTGCAGCAGGCCTATTGGCCCACATTGGGCAGTCCCATTTACACCCGACCCCTATTGCTCATATATCCATCCAACCTATGTTTGAAGCTATCCAGCGTATTCGAGTTAATGATGATATTTGGTAACTTGTCCACTATTCTATTTCCAAACCAATGTTTACCTATTTCATGCCTAAATCTGAATTTGTCTAATTTAAAACCATTGTTATGAGTACCTTTGTAATGACCCCTTTGTTCAGCCCCGACTTCCATTTATACACCTCTACCATATCGCCCCTCACTCTAAGTCTCTCGAGGGAGTGCAAATTAAGATGCTTTAACTTCTCTCTGCACTCAAGGTTCCTAATGCCCGGGATTAGCCTTGTCATTCTCCTCTGAATTCTTTCCAAGGATTCTATATCCATTCTGTAATAGTGACCAGAATTGAACTGTGTAATCCAAGTGAGGCCTCACAAGCGCAAGATATAGTTTTAGGATGACCTCACTAGTCTTGTAACTTACACTCCTTTGTATGAACCCAAGTACTTTATTAGCCTTGTTTCGAGCAAATACACATTGTTTACTTGGCTAAAGATTCCTACTTATCATTACTCCTAAATCTTTCTGTCGGATTTCTCAATAACAGTGTTGTTCATCTGGGTTCCCTGTTTACATCTCCTATACTGAGTACTTTACATTTGTCCACATTGACTTTCATCTGCCATTTTTCAGACCATAATAAAAATTTGTTTAGATCTTCTTGTAATTTTGTGGAGTCCTCGTCAGATTTAATCACACGTCCTATTTTAGTGTCGTCAGCAAATTTACTTATGTTGCTGTCTACGCTGATATCTATGTTTTTTATGTATATAATAAATAATAATGGTCCATGTACTGAGCCTTGGGGAACTCCACTAGTGACGTTCCAATTGGATTTAGTGCCGTTAATGCTCACTCGCTGTTTCCTGTCCTGTAACCACGCCCTAATCCATTTTAGAATATCTTCTTTAATGCCATGAGCCTCCACTTTTCTTATTAGTCTTTCGTGGGGGACTCTGTCGAAGGCTTTGCTAAAGTCGAGATATACTACATCATAATTGTGCCCCTCGTCCAGATTCGAAAACAGATGAAAAGAATGTTAATAGATTAGTTAGTAATGAACGCCCACTTGTGAAGCCGTGTTGGGAATCATTGATCAACTTGTGCTTCTCCATAAATATTCATAGTCAAGTACAAGTCAGGGAGTCGCCTGGGAACCTACAATAATGGTCAATAAATATCAATGAAAATTTAAATATAATACTCACAAGCTCAGGAGATATATATCCTTACACACACGTGCTAGACAGCCTTACTTACAGGGAGGCCCAATCTTCCTCTCCCCTACCTCACATATGCTTCACCCCAACTTCTTTTCTTCTTTGCTACTTCTTTCTTCCATTAGTCCATGGTCTTCCCCATACCTTTACCATTAGAGGAACAACAAAAACTCATGTTTCCTTATGTACAGTTGCTTCTACATGAATGTACCATGGTCTGGGAGTGTGTGGGGGAACAGGTAAGAGCCCTCACATACTCCCAGGCTGTGGTACATTCATGTGGAGGAAACTGTACCTCCACACAGACCCTTGCATGCCAAAG